TATATATAAATGCACAAGTTGTGCAAAAATTTTCTGCTTATACAACTCCATCTTACAACTGTACTCAGAAAAAAGTTACCACGATGTCAAAGTTTTAAAAAAAACCACTATGCATATTAATTGAAAAGTTTAAAGTCATACTCATTCAGGAATGTATTTGACGAAAAATTATACTAACGCAGTTATTAGGTGTCCCAGAACTGCCGAAAAGAATTTCGCATCGAGCTAGTCTCTCAGTCAAACAGTGTGTTTTCATGCACAATCACAGGTATATGAATATCGGAACTACTCCTTTATTAGGAAGTTTAGAATTTCGGCGAAAAAAGTAATCCTTCGGTAAGGTTGTTAAGGAGTTATAGTTTTATGTTAAAAAAAGAAAAAAATTGGACAGCACCGCGTAAAGACAAAAAAATGTCTCACTTTTCAGAGTTTCTGCTTTTCACAAAATTCTTTGTTCGTGTTTTACGACCTTTTTTAACCGATGCAGATTTTTCCTAAATATGTACCACTTCAATTCATGCTTTCGCAGCAAATAAACTTCAGCAGCTGCAAAATAGTGATCTTATTATGAGAATGTATTGAGGAATGCATACTTTCGAGGACGCAGGAACACCGGAGCTCCTGGCATATTTCATTGTTTTTATATTGCGCTCCTCTTGCCCACTCGCTCCTGACCCTTGACCTTCTGACTCAATTTTTGACAAAGCTGTTTTTTTCAAGAATCTTTTACGTCCTGCATGATCAAAAAGGTCCTACAAAATATGTTTCAAGTGATGTCTAGAATTAAGTTATACTGTACATAAAAATAATTTATACAAACATGTTCTCGAAAAATGAACTTGTTTTATTAAAAGTATAACGAACTGTCGGTTCACATTACCATAAAAGAAACTTTTGATTTCCCGTGAAATCTTAAGAAAGTGATGAACGTAAAACCTCTTTCGCGTTATGAACAGTATTGTAGCCAACAGTGGCACGGCAAGCATCATCGGTTGAATCGAGCGTCCACGCCACATGTTTCATCTAAAACAAGAGATTACAAGCAATATTACTTCACTTTAATATATATAGAAGTGAAGCTGAGCTGTATATAATATCGCTGTCTTTGTTTTAATCACAGCCATTCCTTCAGATTTAGGGTACCGTTGTTTCAATCACCTCTATTATAGTGCTAATAAATCATACACTACAATAATATGGATAATATATTTGCAACCGGTAAATTATTCGCTTGTTTTTCTTCTTTTCCGGCTAAATCATTGACTCTGACGTTCTTTGCAGATTTACGCATCTGCGATTCACTTTCGCTTCGGGTAGTTTTTCCCGCAGGCTTTCTGAAATGCATCATGGTTGCTAATAGTGACTTCGAAAAGAAATCAGTGTTACGTATGTTACGAGATAAATCCATTAAGTGCAGAAATAATGATCAGCATTTTCGCTTGCACCTTTTCTTCTTCGAGAAAAAAATTTTCTGTCACCTTTTTCTGATTACTTTATTACGTTCTTTACGTGTGATAGACTTCTTTATCTCAGCAAAAGCATTGACTTTTGTTGCTTTGACACGAACTTTTGCCCTTGCTTCCATTTAGCCGCAAATTATCTCACTAAAAAGGAATTTGTGAAGTATGGCAATGAAGTGGAAGATACAAAAGCATAAATGGCATAATAAGTGAAATTAAGAAAAAATTTCTTATGTTACACAACGAAATTGTAGCAATTGATTAAGCAATTACCATAACAATTCGATAATGAATTGCGATAAGTAGGAAGACATACGAGATCGCAACAATACAAATCAAATGAGAGTTATTTCAAGGCAGCCATTTTAAACAAGGTATGTTTGAGCTTGGTCATGAGACAAATCAAAATTTAGGGTTTGATTTTGAATTCTACTTTCCAGAACCACTTTGTCAAACATTCCTCATATTCGGTAACAATATTTCAAATAACTAATACACTGATGCCCTCCAAGTGTGTTATTAACTAAATAAACTTAACTTGCAATAAGTTACCCATAAAAGGCGAGTAATAGGAAATGAACTTCGCAAAGTTTATTCTCAGGGCGCTTAAGCCTTATAAATCAGTTTTGGGTGCTTCATGGACGGGATTTGAAGGCTATATAAAAAAGTTATCGGGATTTCTGGCAGTCGATAGAAGCTCATATCTATCAATAGCTGAGGATAGTCTCGAAGATTGAGATAAGAAATGTTCTAATTAACAAAAAGATCGAAATAGTCCTTTCAACACATACATTTCACAAGTCCAAAGTATTGGGAATATAGGTGTTTCAGATCCTCCGCCCAAAATTCTCCCACCACTTCGAGATTCAAGCAATATGTTTGTGAGGTGAGGTGATTGCTAATGTGAACTGAGACAGTCCTGGGAGATTGTCTGTCTGTCTGTGACGGCGATGGCAAAAAGCATGAAATCTTCTAAATGACACGTACGAACGCTTGACTGTTACTGTTCCAAAATCTTCGTCACCGGCTGTTTCAAGCGGATCGTTTCATTTCGCACCTTTTTTAAAATTTCCTTCCAAACTACACAGACAGACAGACATATATACACGTATACACGCACACACGTGCACATACGGATACACATGCACACATATACACATATCACTACCTGTCGTCGGTCACAGGTGGATGATGTCCATAGAGAGTCATATCTTCCAGAGTAAACGAAGCAGGAGTGCCAATCTATCTCATTAACTGCTGTCGCGATATATTTACTGAGTGTCACACACAGAACGGAATAGATGGCTTCATCCTGAAATTGTGTGCCTTATTCAAGAACCCTCCCACCCATCGCCGCTCCCCTTAACATACGACTAAATACCGCATTGCCTACAAGGAACACGTTATGATGAGATGAATTAGATATTCCTGGAAATTCTGATGTCAAACCACCGCATCATGTGAATGAGTTGTGAAGAGTTGCAGTCAAACAGTCTCTGTGATCAGAAACACCAGAAGCACTTTTATTTATAAATCATATCAACTTGAATACATGACAAGATATAATCAATCAGTATCAAGTTAAAACTTGTAACCTGTAACGCAAAGTAATCACTCTGTGTCGGGACGCTAAATGAAAGCTTCTAAATGTCGCCACTCACTAGTTAAGGCAATTTGGTATACCCAAAACAAATCATCACAAAACTAATCAATGACCACGCACATTAAACGCATTTGCTTTTTAGGCCTTTTTCTCCATAAAATGTTCCTTCTTCACAGATAATTTAGAATAGGAACAAAGACAAAGCCAGGACTTCCAATATTATTTTACTTGTATGGGTTGAGTAAAAACAATAATGAAACTTGTTCCAGTCCCAAACTACCGTGACATCATGCCAAAAATAAAATCCATGCAATAATAAAATACTAGAGACAAAAATAATCCCTTAAAACATATTGAATCAAGCAAAAGTTATGGAAATGCTGACGCATAGTAACAGAGCACCCAACTATGTCCAGAAAATACACTGTTAACAACAGAAAGAAAAATATCGTTGTGCTGCAAAACCCTTTATATGACTTGTAAAGCCTCTTTGGAGTATTTCTTTTGGTGCTGCAACATTCCCTAGAGATAAAGCCAGCGAATAAACCCTTCATTCGCAATTCATAAGTTAAAACTTAGTTATTTAATTATATCACTTTCAATACACAACCAAGCGAATTTGGCAGCCCATTTTAAAAAATCTGCCATACTGTCACAGCATAAAACCCCACTTATTTTCCCGATTCAACTGCTGCTCCTCTGAATGTTGAAATACGCTTATTACATGCTGGAATGAATCATAATCAAGAAGGAAGTCTATGACATTTGAATTATATCACTTTACAACCCACTAAACAATAAACAACAGTTGTTCGGTTTTTAGTTATGGAACAGAGAAAACTTAAACAAAAAAATAAATGGAGCAAAAAAACGAAATTGCAAATTAGCAGACTTGCCAAATTTAAAAAAAAAAGGAGATATTAAAAAACCATTTTTTAGTGAAATCGTTATATCCAAGCAAACTCATTCCATAACGAGAAAACCAGTCTGAGACCGTCTAAAGCAACTGTTCGTAGGAAGATGAGCAGTTGGAATCATCGGCAAATACGTTCACTTTCAACGGGAAATAGGGTTTTTCAAAGCAGTATTTGGTGTTTTAAATATTGTTAATAGCACACCAATCATTATGATAAAAAACAAATTTCGAATATACTGCTCCGACATGAAAAAAATAATTATAGTGTTTTAACATTATTCCTCAAAATTCACTTCTCATCACAGACAGATTTTGAAATTACTCTTGTTTAGAAAACAAGAGCAATTTCTCTGAATCAGTTACTTCTACATTTTATCCCATCTTTCAAGAGAATTGATCTCAAAGTATTTTTCTGCCGACCGATACTTAATGGTAAGTTAAAATCATAATATTAATAATAGAGTGAGATATATAAAAAGCTATCATGCAGCTGCGGTTGAAACTATCTATTGCTGTAGAAGACATGTTTTTGCCAGTCTTGCTCTCAAAAGAATCAGAACTACAGAAGTACTAAAATTTTATTAGAGAATACACATTTATAATGCAACACATTCACTCGAGGACTTTACAATTGAAAACACGTAGATGTTGGGAAAAAATAAGTGTAAAATAGTTGACTGAAAAGTTAAATGAATTACTTTTATGAGGATAGATATATAAGGCACAGGATTATTTCAAATTCCCCCAAATTCATGAAATTTTCAATACCATTCAGTAGCCCCCATTTACAGCAGCAGTAGACACAGTGAAGATGTTCGCACCAGATTTATTTTCTCGGGTGCGCTTTACATAATATTCTTCACTTTCGTTTTGCCTGCGTCTATGGGCATCAAATAGTCCATTGCTTGAATAATTGCGCGACATCGATGGATACGAAATCGAATTATGCGATGCAGAAACAGAAGTATTGTTCCGGTACTGTAGCGCCTGAAGATTGATAAATAATAAAGTTCCCACCAACCCCATTTATATTCTTAATACATGTGCTTTCACAAATTACTTGACATTCCTGGTAACACAAACTCTAGTTATTTAATTGACGTGTAATATTCAAGTTGAAAATTTTCGAAACTTATATACACCTGCTATCACAACACTACATTTCAGAAGTAAAATAATCGTAGCGAAAGGAAAGCTGCACTAGAGAAATAGCAGAAAGTTTTCTTAGGAGACTGCGAATATAGGGTCAGGAATAGCAACATCTGAAAGTCAAAACAAACCAAAATCTTTAGACGAAGAAAACATAAAAGGATCACCTGCTGAGTGCCTTGTTTAGGTCGAACCGAAATTTGTTTCTTGAAAAGCTCAATTCGATCAAGCATTTCACATGCAAACAGAACACTCACTTCATGCTTGAACACGATCAAGGCATAACGATGAGTTGGACCAGAGTCACGATTACTGCTCGTACGCAGAATGACTGTATCGAGGGGTCCCACCTTAAAATTCTTTTTACAACCAATTTTAGAATTACATTCATCAACCTGGTACTACAATAACAGCAAATGTTTAACAACCCAATTTTGCACAATTTATAATGGTAAAAACTAAAAGACAACATACCTGACTGAATAGTTCCTTCAGAAGTTCCTCAGTAACGTTTTCATGGAGACTGCACACATAACAGGTTCGTTCACTTGGGTCATCCATCCCTCTAACACGCGCAGTATATCATGCGAGTACAATGAAAACAGCTAAACATTAAATAATTGGTCAAACATTCGAGGCCAATCATTAAGTTACATAAAAGCAAATACGCCACTTCTACTCTTTCAAAATGGTATCCATCCATCATACAGACTTTACTTAATTAGAATTAATTAACGACTCAAATAAATTATCTGCTTTCGCTTCTAGTACACTAAAAACTTGGTGACGTCCTTCAACATATACAACATGGAATGAAATTAACTCACTTAGTATCGCGAACTAAGATACGGTTGTTAACAATTCCACTAGCCCCAGTCCAAACTTTCCTTGATAAATAATGGTCAGTGTTGCAACAACCTGTCGAGTCACTGAGAACTTGAAATCTACTTATACCCCCTTAAACAAACAAACGGATTACCGAAAAAGCCAGCCACATAATACCAGCCGGGCCAATTACATGGTACTAGATGGGTAAAACATTTCGGACACAAGAATCAGAGCGAAAATTGACTGAAGACTCTATACATTTCCCTTGTCATTTAATAGCAAGTCATAGTGTGGGATGGGATAGCAACATTTTTATATTTTTCGCATCCTGTAAGACTGTGAATAATGATGATGTTGTAAGAAGTAACGTCTCTTCTCAGATTGTCATATTATGTCACCATACCTTGAGGTGTAAGCCACAGTGTCATCTGTCGTCACATCTCCTGCACATAAAAGGCCATTACATAATGTCACCAAAAAATTTTGTGAGTAAAACACGTGGAAGAGGCATATACCGTTTATAGTACACAAATAAATAAATGCAGGACGCTTGAACTTTTCTGAATAGTTTAGTACCGCTTCATGCAGTGTATTTATAGTTGCGTGAGCGCTATGTCAACAACTTTCAAGAACTCAACCTTACCTTACTATATTACCTCTGGGTTTTGGATATCATCGTCCCCGCTATCAAACGAACTGCATATCCAATGGTCTCATAACCGCTACTACAGTACCTTAGTAAAGCTTTTGGAGAAAAATGATTGTTAAAACCCGTACGGATTCAAAGCAACATTTCGCGTTCAACCACTTGTTCCACTTTATTAAAATATTCATAAAGCCGTACTAAACATGTTATAATACTTCTAGTAATTCTGATGAGTTCGTACCAACGATTAGTGTCAAAACACCATAAATTTTTAAATACGTGCAGACCTATCTTTTTGCTTGTGGACAGAAAAAGTTAGTGAACGAATTTTATGTTACATATTTTCAGCATAATCCCAAGTATACACACACACACACACACACACACAGTTGTTAGAATGATTAGAAAAAATATTGCTTAGAAGCAAATACTAATAACTGCTATTCGATCAACATTTTGAGCTCTCATAACTAAATACTAATTTGAGCATGTATTCAGTTAATGCTTTTTTAGCATGCCTCAAATGGAAACCATGGTTCTGCATAAAGTACAATAATATTTAGTGCCAGGGAAAATTTACTGAGAAAACAATGTAGGAAAGCATGAATTGGTTAGAAAGCCAAAACATTTCAGTTTATCTAGAAGCCTTATTACACAGCCACTTTTACAACGGATAAGACAGTGAAAAGAATAAGTTAATGGATAGCAGAAACACACTAAAAGTGTGTTATATCCTAAAGTGATCATCGAAAAACACAGTCATGTACATAGATACGCACATGCACACATACACACACACATACACACACAGGAAGAAAAATACTATGTACTTTGTTTCACACATTATTTAGAAGAAAAATTCTTGACAAATTTATATCATCGACGGAATTGCTACAAGTGACTGCATTAAAGAAATCAAATTGCTACATAATTGTTAAAATATTCACAATCATAGATGTCTTTCAGCTATGGAAATAAAATTTGAATTTCAATAAAGAGAATCGCAACCACACAGCATTATAACAATCGAAAATACATGCTGGTACTATGCAATGCCGCTCTTTTGTAAAAAAAATGTACAGCAAAGAGTACAAAGACACTGCCAAGCAAATCATCAAAACTTGGAAGAGGAATGAACCACGGCAGCATTTCCTAAACGTTTTGGTTCACTTCCATCAACATTACTTCGCGATGAACATGGTGAAGGCGGCAAACAAGATCAAGCTATGATTTTAAAGCTACGGAAACTAATTTACATTAGCTGCCGTAAATAACATCATATCGCGTAAGATCATATATCATCCAATGTTTTTGGGCATATGCTATCTTTCAATTCATAAAGCAGAAATAATGCCTTTCGTAACCTATGTTACCTAACAGTGCTTAATATTTATAGCCGGTCGCTCAAACATTCTTTACGTTACATTACGTAAAGAACGTATTTTTAATGAGCTGTCAGCACCACATGAAAAGAGACGAATTTCTGGATCAACATGTAGTTGTTGCACACCTTGTACTACGGAAGCCACTTGACGCAGGCTGAATCCTCCTCGAGCAACATGTTCACCATCAAGCGAAGTCACAAGCTGCGGTACAAGATCAGTATTCCAGACCTATTGGATTTGTCCTTATTAATCAAGTTTAAAATAAAGAGAGAAACCAGGGTGAAACAATGGACAGCAAAAAATCATCACCAGAAGAAATTCTGTCAATGATTTGGTAATATTGGATGGAAAGTACATATTTCCCACGCTGCCAAGCACTTTTCGTAAATCCATCCGTCCTTTTCTAAATTTAACAGAAGTTTCCTCCATTAATAATCAGTAACCTTTATATCCCCATCATTTGATCCAGCAACAATGATCTGCTGAAATGGATCGCCCACAAGACATTTGACAGAAGAATTTTCGAAACACTTCACTGTGGTACGTAATCGACGTTGTCGAACATCCCACACACATAACTCTCCATGTCGTCCGCCAGATACTATAGTCTAAACATTGTTTAAATACCATTATTTCTTTTCAAAATATACTAGGTGGACTTACAGCGAACGGAACTTTCACAAAAGATAAGTTTATAACATACGAGCACAATTTTTCTGATATCTTCCATTTACCCTTCTGCCAGCATTCTCTGTTTCCCACAAAACAATCTTCATTAAAAAAATTAAAAACCTGATATGATGACAAATACATCACAGAAGTTGCTCCTTCAGGATGTGCTGTCCAGGAATGAATGAGTGCTTTTGACTGCGGCATAAGAGTATCCCAAAGGCAAATGTTTTCGTCAGACAAGCTGAGACCCGCAGTAACCAGAACAGAGGAAGCGGAACCCAGAAATCGAACATCTGCTGCAGATTTAGAATGACATTTCTGATTCTGAAATAAAAATAAAAACTACTCACAACTATATTGATGTGTAAGCATATTATCAGGAATCAAAGAACTCACGAAGAATGGCTTTTTGACTGGTAATCCTTGAACTGTCTGCCATAAACACAATATTCCATCGTTGTCAACCGAAGCAAATTTGCTTCCATTGCAGGAGAATAACACTTTCGTTACCTTATATAAGGAAAAGATTATCAGTAATTTATAATCTCAATCTAAGCAAACCTTTGGAATCAAAAGTAAACAAACTTTGGCATATTGCCCAGCTATCCGAGGTGTAAAAAACGGATGTCCAACTCCCCACTCCCATAGTCGTATTGAGCCATCCGACGACCCACTCACATCTGCAAAATAGTGATGTAAAGGTCCAAAGTTCAACATTTAAGTTAATATATAACACCTATAAAAAAAACTCTGAACAGTAATGAGTACCATCTAAAAAATAATTTAAGATGTTGCCTTAATCAATATACCAATGCTCTTGGCTCATGTTAAATGTGATTGTAAAGTTTTACTGAAACTAAAGCGAGAAGTAATCAGTAGAAATGCCAATGATAGAAAAGGAAAATATTTAGCAAAAATAAAACGTACAATAAGGCATTGTTGGATGAGAATCAAGCCGCCGTATTCCATTAACTTGTCTTTTAAACATCTGAAAAAGGTGTACTCAAAGATAAGCAAGGATCCACAATTCGCACAATGTTCATAATCAAACAAACAAACAAATGCATGCATGTAAACAAGTTCAACACAAGCTTTTAACTTTTCCTGATACAATTTTTATATTTCCGCCACATTTAAACAATTTAGCAAAAATTGAAAGAGTCTTCGGCAAAGTTAACACTAGACAACAACATATGCGGCACAACATCCAGAACATTTTATGATAAACATACCTTTATCAAAGCCTTTCGGCTTCTATCAACAATAAATGGAGTCATCTGCATATATCAAAATAAGTAAATTATATGACCAAATTTAGAAAATGAAGAAGAATCTATAATTATATATTTCGATATGTTTTGCCTAATTGGAACTAAGAAAATGGCATTAACAATAAATGGAAGTGCTTACTGTATTTATGGCAGTGGTTTGTAGCCCATTTTCAGTTATTAATTGATAGTCATCGTTATCCTGAAATCTCATTACAGTTATGAACAGATCAAAGATTCTTTGAATAACGCAACATTTTGTGCCATGTACGATCTACTAACCAGGAGAAAAACTTCGATAACAATCCTGTCTACAATGATCTGCTTTCAAAATCTTTAAAATTTATAATTTCTTTGTATCCCTTTTTATTGACAGTAAGGACAATGGATTCATGCTTTATCCAAAAATACACAAGTCAGGAAAGATATTTTGAACCCATTTAGAAAATTTGTTGGAAATAAAGAACAAAAGGATGACTAAAATATGATACATAAGCCATGAAATTTACTATTAATTTGGAATCGCGAATTATGATAAAGGATTTATTACAAGAACATTCAATCTTCATGTTAATCATTAAATACCACTCATCTTCATGAAAAGGAACCATGCTGACTGATACATATACCTTAAATACATCCCTTTTGGTTCCATCAAGTGCAACATCAAGTTCTGTTCGATTAAACAACCAAGAAGAAAGCTTCAGGTTCTCTGCATCGTCAAGCAATGCTGTAATATCCATTTCTTGTAATTCTCGTGTATTTGAAACTACTAACCAACCAGGTTTCACCTACAAAAAAATTAAAAATGAGCTTTTCATTTAGAAACGAAATCAATTACGTTATCAAATTTCTTATGCAAACATAAAATACGAGGAACACATTTTGGCATAAAAAATCACGATAATACACGAATATAAAACAGTTACAAATTTCAAACCATATTAAAAAAAAAAAGAAAAATAAGAAGTCTCATCACTTAGGACCCTTCAAAGTGTACCTTATATTATAAAACAAAACTAAAAAATTGATTGATGCACCAAGAATTAATCACTAACCTCACTGCAACAAAATGCTGCTATTGGCTCACGCTCTCGCTGCACAATTTTGAATACATTCACGGTACTTCTGTTTTCTAGTTCAGCTGTACCTTCCTCAAGAATATTTTCTTCCTGAACATTAAAACTCAGTACAGGGGAAGCACACTTGTATAAAATAAACTAAAGTAACAATCAAAATTTAACGGGTATAAATGATCAAAAAAGCGACCTGCTGATCACCGAAGCCAAATATATGCTTGATGAAAAGGGGTAAAATATGATCCTGACGAACGAGATAAAGCCAGATTCTTTTCACAGGTAACGCAGATGGATCTGCATATTCGAAAGGTGTGTTATTTGTTTCCGTCAGAACACTGTATTTCTTCAAAGGTAGCTCTAAAAAATGTATCAAGACCACTAATTATTTTATGAAGCGATTGGATATCTGTAAGTAAAACAGATACAATGTTCACAGAAACAAAAAATACAAAATTTTAGGAAAACTGAAAGCAACTAAATGCTAAATTCATTTTCTTAATAAATTTTTTAAATTCACACAAAATCAATAAGCAATTCATGAACTTCTTTTGTTCTCCTTCTTAGATGTATCTTGAATAAATCGCTAAATGTTGAGTACCTGCACTGCCATCATCTTTTCTAATAGATAAATCGGGAAGCAAATCAGTAGGGCATCCATCAGGCATTGCATACAAATGATCTTCAAGTTGTTTCGCCCAATTCTCAATAAGTTTAAAAACAGCATTTGCACGAGGTGATAAGGCTGGCAATTCTATAATTTTTCTTTGAAGTTATTGAGACAGAAATCTGATAAAATTGTTTATAAATTAAAAGCACTAAAGTACCTGAATATTCTACGCCTGCAAGCTGCAAAAAAGACTTCATTCTATATAACTGCTGATGGGTAAGAGCCAAACGTAACAGCCACCAGGCGAATCCTTCTAAATTACTGTGGTGTTTTCTTTCCATTTGTTCTAATTCAACTACTGATTCGTGATGTTCTTCGTCAGAATCATAACATCCACTCAAGATTTCAGGTAGTTCTGGCTAGAAGAAAGCAGTTATACAGAAAGTTCCATATGATGAACCTTACATGATGCCCTGGATTTCAACCATAAATTAGAATTCGATATAAACTGATAAATTAATAAGAATTTCTATAAAAATTTAAAAAAATTTATCAACATCATCCTGCGAAGTACCTTTTCAGCAAAAAATTGTACCATACTCTTCCTTGGTGGTATCCATTCATATGGAACTTGTTCTTCTAAAGATCCTGATTTATTTGCTGGAAAACTCTCAGAAGATGTGATGGCCGCTTCAATTCCAATCACCTCAAACAAGATTTTTTTCCATTGATATAATACACGCACGATACATTTTCTCATTACTAATTAAAATTACCTCAGTGTTGAAACTAACTCGAAATGATGAAGAATCTACTGAGAGACAGTTTTTGTTGGGTTTTGTATGAGTTTCATTGGAATGTAAACCACCTGACGCCGTAGTCGTCCGCTTCACGAATGAGCCTAAATTGAACTACCATTATAGAAGCTATAGAAACATTCTTTCTCCTGAGTACAAAAAAAAGACATACCAGGAGATCTTGAAGGAGCTGTCTTTTGCGTTTTCGCTCCACCTCCACCGAACAAAATAGCAAATTCTTTTGTGTCAATGTTACGAGCTGCTAATCGAAATAACCACCTTGCATCATAAGTTGCAAGCGCGTAAGCGAAAAGCGATACAAAGACCTGATCAACATTGTAAAACATTGTAAAAGCTACTCCAGTTCATCCGCGAATACATCAGTGAAAAAGGACTAGTTTTTGACATGTAAAGGGACTCAAAAAGAAATAATTTCGATGAAACACTTATGTAAGCCTTTCTTTTGAATGCGTGAAACCAGTTCAACATAAAAATTATGCTGTTATAAAAGCTCACTGCAATATAAATTTCAAGCACAAGAAGCCTAAGTTGCGGAGCTTCTTCGTCCTTTTCTCGGCTTAAAATAGCCAGTAGATTGCCCACTCCTGGCCACTTCGAAGGCAACGTCATCACTTGAAAATCGTCGCTCGCTGCTGCTACCCTTGATGACCTTGCCAAAGTTCTGAAGAATTTGTGCAGAAACAAAATAATCGTTTTTTTTTTCTAAGTGTTTTTCTGGAATACATTTTTATTTTTTAAAATAATTCACTCATCAAGACTTGGAGGTTATTTTGCTACTAAAATAGTGGCTATAAATATATTTTGATCATACCCGTAACTGCTTCCGTAAATATTACTGACATTGCAAAGTGATTGGTACAAGCATGAAGATAATCCCTGACACAAGCTATACACTTTATAGACCTAAAAATAATGACTTATCGTCATAGATCAAAAACAACTTAATGGTTGGTATTGTAGACAACAACTGATGGAAATAAGGATAAGTATTAAAAGTGAATATAATAAAACAATAAGTTATATCTAATAGCGAGAAATTTTTTCCTTTCGCTTACAAGTTTTAAAGAATTTTGCATAGAGAATTTCTAGTTGAAAATGCCGCTTTTCTGCCGAAGACAAGGTAGTTGTATTGGGGATCAGCAAATATTCGAATTTCCCGACTTTACGTAAAAATTTGAAAGGCTAACTTTGGTCAGAGAACTCTCGGTCTGCGGAGGTTCAGAAAGATCAACAAGTGATAGCAGAATATCGGAACACAGACTTTTCATAAAACCAAGCGGTGATGATGCAAACATTTTGTGTGGTGAAACTGACGCAATAAAAAGTGGAAATGAATGTACGATTGGTAAAGATTCTGAAAAATATCACGATATAATTCTTTTACTATACAAACATTTGTAAGCAGTAGATTAAAAGAAATCCTTTCATTAAAAATTATTTTGTCTAATTTAATCGATAGAGTCAAAACTGTATGAATTCCAACTGAGAAGGGCATGCTAGAGAATAATTTGGAGACAACCCCAGAAAAAAGCAATTATTTGAACGAATATAAGTCATTTAGTTCTAAATTTTTTAAAATGGAACAACACGAAAACTGTAAATGCATGAAAAACCATCATTACATTCTATTTCATGAAAAATTTACCACCACTGAAGAGCTTCGGTCGTCTACTATCTTCCTCCACTTCCATTTGTAATAAAAGAAGTTCCATTAATGCAGCAGTTAAGCGATGGCTCTGAGAATTGTGTAGAGTGCAGTATGATATAAAAACACGCAGTAACTTCCATCGTCGATTTTGTAATATGTTGTGGGATCGAGTCGGTATCTCTGCTCCATCCACATGAATAGTTTTGTGAAGTGGCATGTTATCACTACTAAATTTTTTTTTCAAAAACATGCACTTTTTTAAAAAACTGACTTGGCATTCAAAATAAATTAAAGTGGTAGTAGGAATAATTTATCAGAAAAAGGTAAGACACATCTCGCTTTACAAAGCTCAAATCATACTCATAACTAGCAGTATCGCTAACGTATAGTACGTAAGACAATAAACAATACGGCGGAAAGATCTCATTAAAATATTGATTACCTACAGAAAAAACAGAATTCAAAACATTACATTATATCGTCGTTGAATTTGTTTTCATTTTCAGTAATATCAACAAGTTTCAAGCTATTACAATCACTACGATTACCACATACTTTCTGCAGCACACTTGCACCTGCCTCCAGCCAATTAAGTAACTAAAAAAACTCAGTAAAACAATAAAACAGATTATGTATAGCCAGATTATTTTTTATGCACAGCTGCAAGGCAAGAAGTATGAAATAAGAAAATGGACTTTAGTAATAAATTTACTTGAAGCCTCAGCTGTCCGCCTTCTACCTCGAAAGCACTTGCAAGAGTAGATAACTCTTCAACTAGAAGCCGTAATGTCGCAGTGAACTTCATATGCTGTGCAATGACATCTAATGTCGGATCATTCTCAACCGTCTAAAATGGACTAGTAATGATGTAATTAATATGTAATAAAATAAATGGTTAATAAAATGTGAAGATAACTAAAATACAGCTGGAACAAACAGTTACATTTCTAACTTTGAGGACTAAGAAAACAACGCAATCTTTCGCATAACGCACCCTATTAGAATCGCCCGAAATAACTTCTATAATGCTTTCCTTCTGTACCACAACTTCATCTGTTTCCAAGTCATTCAATTGCAAATTTAGTTCCTCGTCCACAAGGACAGATGATATTGGTGCACTCCAATCGATAGCATTTGATCGATTTTTCGACGAATCGTCATTTTTTGGTAACTCCAGTCTCTAGAAGAATTTAATTTGAGAATCATGATAAAGTTCTTTGTAAGTTAAAATTCCAAAAAGTAACATGTTCTTTAGCACAATAATTTTGCTACATTTCGATACTGTAAAAATTTCAGCTAATATCAGCTACGTTAAATAAAGTGATGAATGTCAAACTCTTACAACGTGTTTATTAATTTCGGGAGACAGAGATGACGATTCCACCACAGTGAGATTTTTTGGTAAGCGCGCCAACACATCAAGTGCAAGTAAGGGACATCCTGACGCCATATGAGCACTTGCAGTTCGGAAATACAATCTTCGCTCAGATGGTGTGATAACTGATGCAAGATGTTTTGCAACTGCCAGGAATTTCTCAGTTGAACCTACCTGTAAGAAATGGTGATTTATAAGAATGAAGAAAAGCAGAATTCCTTTTCAGTTCATTCATAACAGAATCAATAAAACCAATAACCATTTTTTCTCACACCTGAATTCCAGCATTTAGAAGTCTTTGTCGAATAACCAGATGGTGAATGCGTATAAATGAGTAGAAGTTAAATATATCTGATAAGGAATACTCCATTGAACCATCCAAATGAACATGACCTGCTTCATCAACTAACGTGTTTGCTGCTCGAACGTATTCCTTCAGATGCCAATAAGCCATCGAACGTACAAAAGGATTTCTATCAAAACTGCATTATTAAATGGTCAATTATGTTTAAGCTGAACAAATAAAAATTTATGAAATAAGCATAATTACAAATACAAAACAGTGAAAACATACCGATTTGATCCAGGTGTAACATCAAAGTCTTTTATATCCGCAACTTCGGTGCCGAAAATTTCTCTACAAAGCAATTCCCTGAGTAAATTACCTTGCTCTTCGTAATCTCTTTCACAAAGGCGAACTATTACTATTGCAAGTTGCAAATCTTGTAGTTTCTTCAATACTATCTGCAAAAGGAAAAAAATAGTAAAACAAACACGAAGGAAACAGAATAAATGTCAAAAATGAAGTCGGAAAAACTCAAACCTGTATGGCATCTTTAATCGATCCAGCCAGTAAGAAAAATGCAGCAGCATGCTGAAAGCGTTGCTTGCCCATCAGCACAAAAGCGTTCTTTAGAGCTGCCTTCTTCCATTTTACTTCGTTGAAATCATGCATGAAGAAATCCGACATTTTATTGTCCTTAACGGTCTATAAAACAGGATTGCACGCGATGATTCTCAGTATGATATTCATGTTTATCAAGATGGTAGTAGGAAAAGCAACATACCTTGAACAAATGAGTTAACAGATTTTTTTTCTTTAACAGGAGATAATAAAGAGATGCATCCAGTGGATCTTGATTTTTTTGGAAAGCCGCTTTTGCTAGCTGTAATTTTGAAAATAAGAGAAAACAGAATATAATATTTCTATTCATTGTATATTGGCAAAAAAAATGGCAACCAACTTTCTCAATGATCGCACGTAGTGATGAGGTATTTTTTAACCACCAAGCAACTCCTAAAGCTCGCAATTCTTCCCATGACAAAGTGGGCTTCTGCAGACATGGAATTGCATTCAGCAATTCAGTTTCTGTTTCAGAATGCAAAGCCCAAATAATCTGTGATGGTGAAAGTCCTCTGAAATAATAAAGTCGCTAAAAATCAGCTGAAACATTCAGAAAAACGCTGTAACAAAAAAATAGAATTAATCTGTTTATAATCTCATTCAGACCATATAAAATGGAAGTAATATATATATATATATATATGGATACCAACTCACAAACCTTGAACGAAGACTATGTTTTTGCTGTAACGGTAGACATAATAACAAATACTCATGCTGTTTCATGGCCATCAAGTATCTCAATCCACATTCGTCAACAGTTTCTAATCCAACAGTGGGTGTAGCATATCCACTTGCTGCATCGCTTACGATCTGCGGTTGAGTTGCTTGAAAAGCTGTAAATACAAACGCATATTTTATAATGAGTTTTTTTACAAAATCGAAATCGCTCACTAGAATACGCGTAGTTACGTGCCTGCGTTTGCTTGTGTTAACTTATCCATGATATCTGATGAGAAATGACTTAACGTATCCGCAACTGCCAGAAGGTGCATTTGATCAACGCTTGACAAACCTGGAATTTTTTACTTTTGAAAGGTTAGCTATCAAAAAGAAGTATGTAAATAAGTGACAAAAAATCAAACGTTTACCTGGTAAATGAATATGAGTGAGAAATTCTGTCAATAAACGATTGTGTCTTGCAGTAAAACTTGTTGATACAAAAACTGTATGTACATTATCCATAGAAAACGAGTTTTGACGTAATCTACTCGGCTCATTGTCCATATCTAGTGAACCATCTAGATTGTCATCCTCAAAAAGTTTATCAAAAAGTGGAATGCATCTGCTCTGAAAACTGTATTTAAACAATATTTTTGTCACAAGGATTTCGAACCTAAACTATACTTCTTGTACAGTAACTATAAAATACATGATAGCAGCAAATTACTTGTGGCATTTCAGATGCTTTCTCTTTAGCCATTGAAAACGGATCACCAGCGGAAATTAGAATATGAAGCGGTATTGGTGGAATGCCATCAAGCTCGTTATATTCCAAATTCGAATCATCAAATGTATCAGAAAGTCCCCGGACAGCATCTTGTTCTGAACTTTCCATTTTCAGATCTCCACCGGTAAGTGACACTTTACGTATTGAAGAAGCACGCGACAACGGATTTGGTATTGAAACATTCAGCTGCTGTAAATAAAAATATAAGCTGTTGTTGTTCTGTTATAATACGGTATAATTTGAGGAAGCGTATATATTTTACATACAAAACTGCAGCATTAACCTTTAAGCTTTTCAAAACATGTAATAATATTGCTTTGACCACGCGTGTCCTACCAGAATTAAGTAGTTCGATAAGCAACTTTGGGTGATACTGCGGCAAAATGGGACTTGCCAAACGTGCAGCTTCGAATAAACCTTCACTGATGGCTTCAAGAACATGTTGGTCTTTCAAAAGCAATGTTTGCAAATCATAAGGTGCCGAATACATCCTTGAAAATGAGAAATAAATAACTGATCGAAGTAATCAAAATGAAACCGATGAAATTATGAAAAGAGAAAACCTTTGCAGCAGATCTTTGTACAGTTTTTGCTTGTTCAAAGGGGCAGACTCTTGCTTAGGCTTTTTTGATAACTGATCCAAGCTGGAATGTGAAGAGATACCCAAACTAGCAAGCGCAAGATGGCTAGATGGTTTAAGTCTGAAAACATTGTATTCACTGTAAAAAAAAATTTGAGCGAATTAGATTAGCATTTATTAAGTTTTTAAAAGACTTAACAAAAACTTACTTTGAAAGATCTTTAGTGACTTCAGCCAATTTTCCATTTTTAGGGAACTCCGCCTTGAAATTCCACTGACTGTAACAATGCATTTCACTTTGCATACCGATAATCAATAAACCGTCACGGACCCAACCCAATGTTGTTGGCAACGGTGGTAAACCATCAGCTGATTTCAGCTCTAAAAATCGTATGCAAAGCCACCGCACCTGAAAATCAAATTAATTTCATTGGGTTTGCATTGGGAAAAATTGTTGATGAATTAAATTTTTCCAAATATGTTCAACATTTTACATTTTATATTTTACAGAAGGAACTTACAAAATATTTAGCTGAAACGCCCCGGATTCGCTCTTATCCAAAAGCAAACAGTTGTTCTACAGAAAGTGATCAAGCGCTTTAATAAACAAACAAAACAAAATATTTCTCAATTCAACCGGTACCTTTTATGCTGCTTTAGAGATATGGAAAACGTTTCTTATTGATTTAATCCATAAAATTAAATATTATTGCAAAACAAAAAGTTTTTTAAACTTGAAAATCAAAGTGATTCTTCAGCATAATCCAACAGGCTAAGAACGATAAGATTTCATAACTAAATTCACAACAATTCTGAACTAAACGGTTAAATTCAGTTTCCTCAAAAAAGTTCATACATAAAACAATTACAGAAATTACATCCAGTTCAATTTCAATAACAAGACGTTCTACAAAACTAACCAAACGAGTTGATATGGTTTCCGGATTTGCAAGTGATGAAGCCTTTGTCAGAGGGCCCCGACGATGCGTGTCATGTTCTTTCATCATTACAATATTTCTTTGTGCAGCACCCTGGGACACTTGAGTATATAAAAAAATGTATGTACCCAGTGCCACTGTAAGAATATGTGAACCATCTTCAGCAGAAACCCATTTCAGACATACATTACTGATAGGCATACCTGCACAAAATTCTGAAAGCGTAAATAAAATGACAAGATCTGGTAAAATCTCTTCCCGCTTATTTCTCTCCCATGAAATTTGCAGCTGTCCTTCTCCCTCAATAATTTTTGAAAAATGAGAGGACCAACATATTACATGAATCTCAATTCTAATTCTAATCAGTTATAACGCTCATAACCAGAGCAAATGCAACCATGAAGAGACCTGAAACAGCTGTATCTGATCCCTCGAAGTAATTTTCGGCTAGTTCCTTCCTGAAAATGGCATCATTTCATTTGAATTTTACATGTGATTCAGCAGCAAATTTCATTAAAAACGGAAATTGCATGCTAATGCATAGATCACATAAACAAAATATTTAATATTGTCATGAATTCTAATTTATATCTTTCTCTGATAAAATTAAAAACAAACTAATAACGCTTCAACAAATTAAAAAAAAAAAAAACCTCATCTTGTGTCGAAGATTGACAATGATTGTATCTTCACAAAGCCATTCAACGCCACCTGATGATTCACATTCAAACACACCAACCTTGATGCTACTTATCGATGAAGTTGCATCAGTCATACCTTCGGGAAAGTATGCACAAGCAAATCGACTACTATGAGCAGCTGATATCGAACATATTTGACCTGAAACACCTATTTCTGTCAGAAACAATATTTTTAATAATTTAATAGTTTACTAACAAAAACTAGAAAGCAAATTATTGTTTGCCTTCTAATAATAAAAACAGTCTTTACCATCCATCTCTATATTCGAATCCATGGTATTGCTAATCATTCCCCACGTCTTCCATTTGTAACTAATTGATCCACCACTTTCAATGATTCTCAAACACTCATAAAACCGGATATTTTCATCGCTGCACGCCAGAAGAACAAGATAAGGTGCCCTGTATGTGGGATAAAGATTTGACGATGGCAGATGACCTGCTGATGGCTCCACCAAAATCACCTTAAACAAGGCCAATAAACAGCAATGTTGATGATCTCATCATATTTTTCTTTTACAGTGTCGAAAATATGTCGAAGCATTTGGCGAAAACCTAAGTAATTTAATAATAAATCTGTTGAAATAATTAAAGTAAATTTGTACTGTAGCAATCTGTACTATAAAGACTGCTGCTCATCAATGGTTTAAATTGTCTCAAAATGTTAAGCTGATCTCGTTTTTCATTTAGTTCTTTTTGTTTCCTATGAATTATAATAATGTGTTTCCTTTATTAAACCGTTGTAAAATGTTAAGCTGACCCTTTGCTCACTTAGCTCTTTGTGTGCAAAAGGAATGCAAAGAATATGCCTCGATTCGATTATAGCAATACTAGTATTAGTATTAGTTTTCATCAGTATCAATATTATGAATGAACTAGTATTCGATCAGGATCACAATTTGTACCATCATTAGTAAAGCAGTCTTTACCAGTAGTATTATCAGGAGTACTAAAAACTAGCAACAATTTTACAGTGATATTCTCTGGTAATTGTCTTATAACGTTCGCACAAGAATAAACCCACTGTCAACCTATAAAATCTTCGTTACAACTATTCGTCTGTGCCAATAACAAAATAACCACGACAACAACATTTTCATTACATCTTTTTTTGTTTCATTATATTGCCAATTTATGTTTCATTCCATTTTCACCATTTCAAACCCACAAGTCAACTTTTACAATCCACTTCAACCAGCTCAGTCTAAATGCCACAGCGGTAGCAAGAACTACTGATTAGCTGTTAGTTGAATGTCGTGCTTTCTGCAACATTTTTTAAACTAAACATAGAAACTAAAGTGATATTGAGTTCGATAAGTTTAATTTTCCCCCTCTCAACACAGTAACATAAAAGAATCAGTCAAAAATAAGGAGAGCTTACGGAAACACCATCCGGCAGTACAACATGATCGTTGTAAATTAGATTAGTACTGAGTTGTAATTTGCTGAAAGAATTCTCATTTACATTCACATTGACCGAATCCGACGAATCTTTTGCAGGCAGAGCATTTTCAGTCTCTCCTATAATCCAGAAAAGATTCGTATAGAAAAGAATTTACGAAAAAGAATGTTTCAGATTTGCTCCAGCTTGAATTACTTCTCTTATGATAAAATCATTGCACAGAAGGAAAACGTACCTAGACCTTCAAAATCCGTTACAGCAATGTTAATCAACCACATACGTAACCTGAAAGTACCGCATATATTTAGAATTGATAGAATTATTTGCATGATTACAATGTAGTAACTTTTCTGAAAAAGCAAACCTTGTAAGAGAATTCTTCTCTTTCTCAAATAATACCAAATAATAACGACTGACATTTGCTCCGTCAGCTGTTAAATTTTGTGAAGTGTCCGTGGTACTGGAAACGTCTTCTTTCGAAACTATCAAACGTTCGTTGAAAGCATGAATAAGCAAAACATTATCTGCACACTGAAACAGAAAGTGTGGGGAATTGATAAACAAAACAGCTTAATGGGAGCAGATCTACAAAACGAAGAAAGAATTTTGAATGAATGAAATACTTCCAGCTAATAGCAGTGTTCCGAGAAAAAAAAAATACCGAAGCAGCATTAATACTCGATAATAAAAGTATGCAGCCAGGCTTTGTCGACGACTGCGTAGAAACAACATTGCGCATTTCCTTCACATTTTCATTATTTTGGATTTCACAAGTTTTCGTCATATTTTGCTTATTTTGATTATCATAAGCGCTTCCATCACTGGCCGAACAACTGCAAAATGCTGATCACTTCAACCACATTATAATTCACCCCAATTATGCAATCGTGTGAGAATCGTGCAGCAAAATGTAGCGAATTTTATGTGAAACAAATTCACTACATTATTGGCAATGGTCACAATGTTACCTTACAAATAATATGATGCATTTGCAAAATCCCAACTTATCAACTTTTTTTGAAGGATAAGTTATACGAAAAAGATAATTTATTATCCTCTTCATTATTGTTTCCCTTACAAGTTTTCCTTCTTGCAGTCAATCATTACTTCAGGAGATTCATGGATTATGTGTGTAATGTCACTATAAGAAACGTTTTCTTCGTCAATTTTTTTTAAACAACATTCATTACAACAAATCAAGAAACATGTAACTTAACTTTAAAGTTTACCCTCTTCCTTATCAATTTCCTATCCAAACACTGATGAAACATTTTAAACTAACGATATTTTTGTCATGGAAATTTAAAATCCACTGATATGTAATGCTGCGATTTTACGCATATTACAATATAGTATTTTTTAGGTGGATGAAAACACAAAAAAAAAAGAAGAAAACGTGAGCAACAAAATATGCATACTATCCAAATTACGGGAATATTAAAAAATATGAAAAGAAACCTGCTTTCAGAATGGGAAACATTTTTTCTTCCAAAAGCATGTATATCTGCGAGAAACTCCGCAGCATCGACAATGGCTTGGTAAATGTTGATATGTCCAGAACTATTAGCCACAAAGGAGGAGTTTGATGAAGCCGAGAGCGACCCCAATAACGAGCTACATATGTATATGTTATTATACTGTTGTAATTTAACGAAAAAAAAAATGGAAATTTAAGAGAACTGCAATCTGCATCGCCAAATTTTAACATAGCTTTCAACTTTTACGTGACTACAAGCACTCAAAAAAAACTTGACTACCTCGACAAAATCACTGGTAACCACGTAACGGCTGTAAACGCATCAGATGAATTGCTTGTCATTCGCGCCAGTTCCCGAACGCCACCACATTTACATAGCGGTCCAACAGGATTCACCTTCCATAAAATCAGCTCAGCCTTTCCCGTTTCTTCAGCGCCCTGCGTTATGTAATTGTAATGGCTCGTTGTAAGCACAAGAGGAAGCACCGGATGAGCAATGACCTAAACAGTAAACTAAGTACGAAATTGGAGAGAAAACACGCAAGTGCACAATCCAGAAAAAACAAGATTCTACTCCATAATTACTAAAATCGTTTGGCATTTAATGAGATACTCTGGATGTTATATATAGATGCACCACACCGCGAAACAAAGTTAAGCCATGATTGCCTATTCTGGCTTACATATCTCGAGTAACCGCACCTCTTGTGCTGGAAGCAAAGAACAATCATTGCCACTCCTGCGATCGACGGAGCTAGGAATGAGTCATCAATCGAATAATTGAAATTAACCGACTAGAAAGAATAACAGTGCACACTGGAATTTCAGTTATGTGAAAACCTCTAGCAATATTTAAACATTACGATATGAACCTGTGAAATTTTGTAACGATGACCACACATTCTTGAAGCATGCGATATATTAACAATCGTATTAAATTTTCCATTATCTTCAAATGTCAAATTCCACAAATTTAAAGATCCGTTGTTATGATGCGTCAACATATAAAGCAAATTTGTATTCCTCCGTTCAAATATCTGGGAAATCCCTTAAAAATCGAATAAGGTTAACTGCATTCAGTAAGCAAATACAAATAACATGAACATGATATTTCCACGGACAAAAAAAATTTAACTAGCAAAAAGCCTACCATCAGAAGCATAGTTCTCGGCAAACTGTTCACGGAGAAAACTGTAAGGGTAGTACACCCTCAGCGAAGGATTTAACGACGTTGCGTCTGAGAGTGAAAATGCAGATGGAAATCGCGAAGTGAAACTAATGGCGGGTTGTCGTAACGGATCATCAAGCCATTCGACTGTCCTACAAAAGAAGCATTTTATTCAATTCACCGGAAAAGTTGGATCCTCACTTTTTCGTCGAAATATCAAGAGCATCGTTCCAAATAGGTTAACAAAGAGCAAGAGAATTTAGAATCTCATTCAAATGACGGCCAAAATATTTACAATCCGAGTAAATTTTATATCATTTGAGAGAATAACAATATTCTTACCACGTTAGTAAGCTACCATCAGCGGGGTGTACAGCAAACAATATATCAGTAGATTTCTTCCATTCTCGTATAAGGATATTTAATTTTAAATCCATAGAATCCCTCGATGATGATGTTTCCTGAATTCAAAAGTGAAAGATTCTAACTACTTTTGAAATTATTCTTGTAAAACGGGAAATATTAAAATATAAATATTTACACACATTATAAAAAGCTCTGGTTGCACCATTGACATTACTTGCAAGTGTGGCGACTAGGACCTCATGTTGTTCCATTGGACCAGCTGATGCAACCTTGGTATCGTCAATATTATGTTCTTTGTTAGCATGCATAGACTCAGTCAGTAAACTTTGCGACTGCAGCATACTTTCTAAAAAATGAAATTTTACTGTTGTACAGATAACAGGTCCTAACCAAATAAGGACTCAAAAGAGTACTTCTGAATGGATATTCAATTTCAGTCGGTTCTGTAGAACAATCATTGGTCAGAGCTTCCATCACAATTCTTTCAATGCCAGTGTCATGAACAATCGCTTTATTATTTAACCAGTGAATCATAAAAGGTCTTTGTTCTGCAGAAGTTTCCAAGGATGGAACCAAAAGACAATCTGTAATACGTAATACTCCGAAAATAAAATATAGCAGTATCTCCCAAGAATTCTATACTAACGCCGTGTTAGCGAAATAGTACTTGGAAACAAAAACACACCATTCTCAGCATTTATAGTAGTGCACAGATAAAATGCAGGACTAGAATCAGTGTGCTTCCCTGAAGCAATTTCACATAGTGAAGTATTTCTGGAAACAGATGATCTTGTTGGTCGTGTTATTTCACTTGCAAGTGTCTTTCTCTCCCTAAAAACAGCGAATTTGAAAATTTCATATTCAGAATTTCCTGCTCTTCAAATCCACTACTTCATATATTAACTTTTAAACTATCAGATTCCAAACAGTCTCATCAGCGTTTGCAAATTAAAGGAATCCAGATTATATCTTCCAACTCACATAATTTTTTTAAGAAAATTTTTGATTTTTGCTCGAGTACCCCGAAGTGAATGTTTTTTATAACAACGTTCGCTTGTGGGATTTCTTTCGATATACATCACCTCTGCACTGCTAATCACAGCTTGGAAGTCAAGAGATACAGTAGCAGCTTCTTTCCAAATCCGAACTGTGTTATCTTCACACCAGGTAAGCAAAGTATTTTGAACATATTGCCTGGAATAGTCATTTGAAATTAACAGTCCCATTTCCTGCAATAAAGATTAAAAATCTGAAAAAGTTGATAAAAATCAACTACATAGTAATAAATAACCGTGACATGTAACGAGAAACTTTTCGCCATTCAAAACCAACAACTGGTTGGGGGTGCCGCACATAATTAAAACCAAACGAAATGCGATTTCCACTGTTCTCGACACCACTATCAGATTCTGAAAAGTTCTTTTAACAGAGAAAAATTTCGTTTTTGAAATATAAATTATTGAGCATTTCTGTTTTTCATTATTTACCAAATAATAATATGACTATGACTATATGCAATTTCACAGCACAAATAATTCCTGGACAGAACATCTAGTAATTACAAGTTTGGTAAAAATTAATGAAGTGGCTCTGAAATCCACTAAGCTTATTTTCATTTTAGGAAATACAGCTAAATTGGGGTTATAACAGTTTCCATCCATTTTTCTTTTAAATTCAACTGCTGCGCACTCTGCAGTGATAACACCACAGAACACAAGAGTAGAAATTCAAGTACAAATAACCACAGATTGATCATTACCTACCTCCTCTCTGAAACCATATTTTTACCAAACAATCTGAAATACCACAAGTAGCGAAATACGCTCCATCAGGCGAACTAGCCATAAATCTTGGTTTTGCTGCTAATTTCTGCGACCAAATACAGTCCCAAAACGAAACTCCCTCATTTTCAGGTTCATTTTCCTGAAGGAGATTATATACTTGACAAATCTGTGTACAGTTTCCTCGACTGCGTTAAAACAACATATGAATAACCTCTTCAACTATCCCGAATGTTACAGTATCCAATTTAACATCCAGAGCAGCTGAAAGAAGCAAATTCTGATAAAGGTGAAGTGCATCACCACAACATATCAGAAGTCGCAGGCCTTGCAAACTCCACTGTATTTTATCCACTGTGTACTTCAGGGAAAGGCTGTATGTTTCAATCCAGTGGTATGGAAAACCCTAAAAATATTTTCAAACTGGAATTTAGAAATTAGAACAGAGCTTCAAAAGAAACAACATAAAGAATTTAATAAATGAGCTGAACAACTAAAAGCCGAAACATAACAATGAAAATTACGTTAGTTCCATCTTCGGTTCGCGTGATGGGCTCATAAATGCGTACTACACCACTACAAGTTGCTGCAATCTACAATGCGACCACATAATTACATATAACACTGATGAACAAAAAAAAAAAAAATGCAATACTAACTACGTAGCTGATTATAGAGTCGACTCATTTAACTTGGTTACCCAATTCAGACAACCTACATTTTTACAAAGGAAGCATTTGAGTGATGAAACCATAAAACCACTAATCCAAATCCCAATGTTTATTACTGAAAAATACTTGACCAAAACTTTGGACAGGTAACCAGAAAAGAAAAAGATAAATAGAAACCTTTCCAGTTTCACAGCAAGCAGCCACACATTTCACTAGTAATCCCTCAGCACAGCTTGGAGGTGTAATAACTTGCACAAGTTTGAAGGAGGAAGAAAATATCACGACATTCGTACCAACAGCGCAAACCTGTTGATGGAGAAAATATCAAAATATAGTAAATCGACCAAACAAGTGTTTATGACTGATTTACAGTAAAGTGCAGTAAAAAAGCTGACAAACCGTAAAACTAAGATCATCTATCGCTCCAACACTGAAAACCTCACTACCACGATTAAGAGCCCCAGTCAAAATTTGATGCACGTTCATTCAAATCAGCATAATCACCCTGAAAATAAGAATAAAGTAAACCATAGCAACTTGACTTAATAAAAGTAAAACTTCTCCAAAAATGCGTACAAGTCGAAACAACATTGAAATAAGATTAATTCTATTAATGGTCTTTAGAGGAGTTGGAGGAAACGGTTCAATTATCCTGAAAAATCTAATGTGTTGTTTTTATAACATGATTCATTTAATAATGATATATCAAGTTTCAACACCAAGCATTTTGACAGCTTACCAGTTACTAAGGGAATTAATAATTCACAATTACAATTTTACACGGAAAAATGCTTACGCTCTTTGTTGACAGGTGAGAAAGCGAATAAGATCAAAAGTTGCATACGGTGGTTCTCAACAAACTGGAAAAAATATTTTTAATGGGGAATCAAAAACGACTGGAAAAGAATGGATGTATAAGCTTGCTTACAGAAGCTTTAGAAATTTTCTGGATGGACCTCAATACTCAAGGATGAAAGTGTTCAAAACCCGTCGCTTACATCTTATCTCTGTTTCATTTTAATTCCCAGATAAAATGGATATTTTGAATCCTCTCATTCTTCTTATTTACTTCGTGCCCGGTCATTTCCCTTTTCCCCTTACCTTGAACGGTTAGCACTTCCATTCTTACTAGACGATAAAAGTCACTATCAGCAAGACCAAGTCATCCAATGGTTAACGACGTTAGTGACAACAAATTTTAACGCAAGCCGTTTAGTGGCATTGTTTCCACGAAATGTAGCACTGCGAAGCTCATCTTTGACGAGGTCATTTTGAACTGGTGCAGTGGGACAAGTTGGGTTGGGGAGTGACAAGCGGGTGTGGACGCAGATGTTAAATGAATGGAAAAAAGAACAGGGAAACATATTTAACGTGTTGACAGCCTACGAGTTAAGAACTTGTGGAAAGAAGGGCAGAAAGTATCAGGACAACAAGGGTAATAGGTCAATTTACTGACTGGACAAAGTGTTAAAAAACTAATTGGAAACATAAAGGGTGATTCTACCATGCGCATATTTTGCTATTTATTATTTTGAGCACAAAATTTTCATTGCGTTTGATTCATTGTGTAAAGTGATATTTTCCAGAAAAACTAGGCGTTTTCATATAAGATTAAAATGGAACATTGATGATATCACTTAAAATATCCGCCGCCAGCACGACCGTCAATTATCTGATTAATAACATCAAGCTCATTTATACCATATCACACAACATGCTGATTTTTCAAAACCATTACTTTTTATTTGATTACTCGTAGCAGAAGATAGAAATACTAAGTGACGCAAAAGCAGTCATTTCTCCCCCATACCTAAGTAAAGCGATGATCCCATTTCACTTTCACTGCTACCTCGAGATTACGCTTCAACTCTTCCTGCCACATTTCTCATGCATGTCCCTCCTCTATAATTCTCCACCTTTTACTTGTTTTCAAATGATCTGGGAATGAACACTAAATTGTAATGACTTTATCCTATTACTTTTTCAAATGCTGTGTTGATCTCTCTCCTATTCTAGATTAATAAACATTGACCACAATTTTCCTGACAGCCATAGAATAATAAGCACGAAATGACCTGCATTTTCAGTACCGATACAGAACAAAAAAGCCTAAAATAATTTAGCGTTCGATTGCAATCAATAGAATGGAAAGCATTTCAAAGGTTGTGGATACTTTGGGTGACACATGAGGGTGATCAGGATCTCGCGTATCAATTTCTGTACCTTTCAAGATGTTTGCGTTCCCTTTATAATGGACAAGAACAATGCAAAACAATAATATAATCGAGATGTTATAGCACTGTGCTGCGCCTATCCTGGAATATAACTATCCATTAGAATACGCAAATTTGTGATGTAGAACTTCAAACTTCCTGCATAATTTTTGTATAGGATAAGCTATGGTCAAATTCTCAATGTTTAATGATTCGTGCCCTATACAAAAAAAAAATATATATATATATATAATGGTGTTTTTTTTTATACAACGGTGTTTTTTTGAGTTTTGAATGAAACGGTAGATTTTAGTAACAATGAATGAAAAAAGTGATTGAACAATGAAGGTGTATCCAGAAGCCTGCAACGAGAAATCCGAGAAAGAAAAATAATAGTTCCAATGTGCTCCTCGAGAAGCAGGTAGGCATTTTACTTCACTGTGAACCATTCTTTCCGTGAAAGAGTTTTTGATAGAAGTGAAAAACATGGTGCAATTTGTGACTTCTTCAATTCATGCGCTTCGCAGAACGAGCAAGACCATAGTTTTAAAGTAACATTATAACTGACGCAGTATTACACACATATTAATGTTCTACAAAATAAATGACTGTATCACGATGAGTTCACATAAGCTGTTGTTCTGTAAAAAAATATCTATGTCTTTTGTCAATCATTATTCTAACAATCGCCCTTGACTGTTTTACAGTAAAAAGCTTAATAATGTTTCGCAGATTCTTGGCTAAATTTAAATACATTGACGCTCGCTACATGGAAGTAAATACCGAGAATTCAACGTACAGAATCGGTCGAAGGTTGAAATACTTCTTAATATGAGCTTATGTGAGATCTGAGCTTCGCTTCATTCCTTTGCGCGTATGCTGCGAATTTTTTCCTAATAGTATTTCACAAACAGTATGACTCTGTTCCGTAAATGGCATATTAAATAACCTGAATTTGCTAGTTTGGTCTATAGAAACTTCAGTTTTTTAACTGTTTACCTTTATATAAATGTCGTGGCGAGTGTACAAAAACCTTTTCAGCATTTGGGCACGTAAATCACAGTGTACTAAAGCGTAAAATGAGGCTTAGCTCTTCCGACTGTCCATTTCTCACTATTCGGCATTGGACGCTGGTGAAACTCAGCAATACAAATATCGCATATGGTAATTTACTGTTTGAAAAATTCGTCGCTATTCTGAATTTCCGCTTTGTTTTCAGCGATCATTTGTTTCAACAGTCAGCGGGTCACTTCGCATGTTTAACGCGTGAAAACGGTTTCAGAATAGCACCGAGGGATGTGAATCTTGCGAATTTAGTGTTGCTATGGTGGTTCATTGTCTCAACACTTCTGCCTTTCACGCTCTGATGGGCACTTTTGAAATATCCGAATGTAAACTGCTTTGATTGCATCAATATGAAATTTGCTGTACCGTTACATTTTCTGAAGATGTTTTGTAGCTCTGTGTTATGTGGATGTTGCAAGCTAAGATTAGCAGAAATTAGAGAAGTCCCACGTAGTTGGAAGAAATTAAGGAGTGTTAAGAGGCCATAGTAAAGGACTGATAATTATTTGTTCCCTTTTGTTATAAGAAGTATTTGAAGTGTAAGGAGCTTCATTCATGTACAATATAAATTAATCAGTGGAACAGTTCAATGGTCAAGGCATGAGATGCTTTTTATTCGACTTCCAAGTTTACGATATTATGCAAATATTGTTTTTAGCGTGTTAACTGTGAACTCAGCTTTAATAAACTTATTTTGTTTGCAAACTTGGTCATTGACCATCTTAATAGTTATGTCCGAGAGCCGTATCTCTGAGAATGTTCTGGGTTAAATCATATAGTAAAAATAAACTGCATAGAAGTTACTACTCAAACATCCTTCTGAGCATATCAGCGTGCAATAAAAAAGAAGATTGGAGGCAGTAATGTGTTAAGTTGATGTAAACGAATGTTTTCATTTCTCTCTTTCTCCATTCAACCCTTGATCACTGTGGTCGTTATAATAATTTTTATCCAGTCTGTAATGAGCACATCGGTATTTTGAGATCTGTTTAGTATTTGTGTACTATTCGTGTTATTTTTCTGAAATTCGAAGCGCGATGGAGTTGCGTGCGTGCGTTTGGGTTATTGACGAAATTACATTCTGAATCAAGTACTTTTCTCTCTCATGTTGCCACTTCCGTTTCACATTTTGCTAGCATGGTTTCATTCGGCGTTCATTTTAGCTTAACTTTCTGGTAGTTCCTTTAATATATTCTAAACCTTAGAACTTTATATATCTGTCGTTTCAGGATCATAATCTCCAGCTAGTGGAATCACTTCTGAACGTGTGTGTGTGTGTGTGTTATTGATTTGGACTACCATTTGACATGGTTTCACATTTTTAACACATTTTACTTATTTTCAGAAGAAGGGTTTTTAGAATGACGGCTTCAGGTGGAGGTGCGTCATCAACAGGTGGTGATACTTTCGACCGACCTATGCTGAAAGAAGTTGACCAGTGGATTGAGCAGCTGTACGAGTGTAAACAGCTCACTGAAGCTCAAGTTAAAACGTTATGTGATAAGGTACGCCCCAAATGATCAAAACCTCAAATGCCGAGAATTAAGTAAGGGATATTAGACGGCAAGTACTGAGTAACATCAGAACCAAGATGCGAAGTTTGGTAGCTTCGCCTGTGCTATAGTGGCCTAGTCGAACTTTGGACTCCATCTTTTCTGAAAATTATTTATCAAGCGATGGAAAATTTAGTTTATGTGTATGCAATAAAGCAAAACCGTAATAAAAAGAAAAACTTAAAACAAAACTGCTACTGCAATAAAACAAAACTTTTGCATGTTAATGTTTGATAACCCCTAACTATACCATATGTAGTACGTACTATTCATAAACTCAAACTCGGCGAATGTTTTTAACGAAGTATTTCAGGCCAAGGAAATTCTGCAAAAAGAATCCAATGTTCAGGAAGTGAAATGTCCCGTAACCGTTTGTGGTGATGTGCATGGGCAGTTCCACGACTTGATGGAGCTTTTTAAGATGGGAGGAAAGTCGCCGGATACTAATTATCTATTCATGGGTGATTACGTTGATAGAGGATATTATTCCGTTGAAACTGTTTCGCTACTAGTTTGTCTAAAGGTTGCTTTTCATTATTTTTTTAGTATTCGTTGTTTTATTCACATTAGTTTTTGCTGAGATTAAGTATTTGATTTCTTCCATTACTGGGAAACCAGAAATGAGGTAGTTGATTTGGAAACTGCCAAAGGAGGCTAATATCATTGGAAATTTTATGAGTTCATGTTTGGATTGTTTCCTATTCTCTTCACGATTTTTTTCCTTTTGTATTCAGCGAAGTACACTTCTCGAAAGGAAGTGTAGTACTTTCATCTCTCGTAATATAATTTTCGAATTCTTTTGTTGTATCACGTAAATTCACTGTAAATCTCCTTATTTATGAATTCCTCATTGAAGGTTTTTTTTCAGGTTAGGTACAAGGAACGCGTCACTATTTTACGTGGGAATCATGAGTCTCGACAAATTACGCAGGTATTATAATATCTTTTATTAGAATGTTATGAAAATTATGCTTGAAAAAAATTACATGAAGTATGGTGAAATTCCGAACTGTGAGGTTAATTCGTACGGTGAAATCTCCTTTGATTCGTACAGTGAAATCTCCTTTGAATTATAGAAAATTAAATTGGTGGTGTAATTGTTCATTAAATTGACTTACATTGTACTGCTTTATAATCTGGAGTGATCAATTTCAGAAATTTTTTGCTTTCAAAAGCTAAATACTTGATTATTTTTTTGATGTTTGTAGTTTCAGATGCTGAAGTCTATATTCAGGTCCTTTTTCTAGGTGTACGGGTTTTACGACGAATGTCTTCGCAAATATGGTAACTCAAATGTTTGGAAGTATTTCACTGACTTGTTTGATTATTTTCCATTAACGGCGTTGGTGGATGGTCAAATTTTTTGTTTACACGGTGGTCTTTCGCCGTCTATTGACAGTCTTGATCATATTCGCGCTCTGGATAGACTTCAAGAGGTTCCTCATGAAGGTAATAAATTGCATTTACATTAGTATTTTTCCTTAGCTTTGTTTGATCGTTTTTGCTTTAAAATATTTTTTTTTTATTGCTCCTCATTTATATTTGTTCTAGGTCCCATGTGCGATCTATTATGGTCTGATCCGGATGATCGTGGTGGCTGGGGTATCTCTCCTCGTGGTGCAGGATATACGTTTGGTCAGGACATTTCGGAGACTTTCAATCACTCTAACGGCCTCACGCTTATTTCAAGGGCACACCAGTTGGTCATGGAGGTATGTTTTCAGTAGTAGTTATCACAATGAGTGAGGATGATTTGTTGAGGTTTAGCACGATTCGATGTGGGGTCAATGCGCATAAGTTTAATTAAATGTAGGACTTTCCTGCTTAACTTCTTTTTAACAAACGAGTCATTCCATAACAATTGTCGAAAAATTGGAAAACTTTTACCTAGTTGCACTGAGGGTCATTACATTTTTATATATTGTCTGTTTATAGTTCCTACAGTTATGTTGTCAGACAACAGTTTTCTTCAAAACTCCGCTAGAATGATGCGCTACAATTTGTATTTCTTAAAAACATTTGAGTTTTTAGAATATCTCTGTGGCGGTTTTTCGTTAATGAAGTAGCTAGTGTCGTTTGTTATGGCAGTCAATTTTCAATGGAATTCAGCTTTATTTATAATTACCATTCAATAATTGCTGCTTAAGTACTTTGAGTGTTTTACAGGGCTATAATTGGTGCCATGATCGCAACGTTGTTACCGTTTTTTCGGCTCCCAATTATTGCTATCGATGTGGAAACCAGGCGGCGATGGTTGAATTGGACGATGAACTTAAATATTCTTTTCTGCAGTTTGATCCGGCCCCTCGCCGTGGAGAACCACATGTGACTAGGCGAACTCCTGATTATTTTCTTTGAATTAATAAGAAATCAATCCTTTCGCCGCATTAATCTAGTGTTCGTGCCAGAGAAAGTTTAACTTTTTTTAAAAAATCCGAGCAAAAAATTTTTATATGATTTTCATCCCAATACAATGCTGAAACTTATTTGTGACTGTGAACACTAGTCGTGAACCATATTAACTATTATTTTTTTCAAGTAATGGAGGTGTTAATATTTATCCGTTGTAAAGGTAAACACTGCGAAAGGAGCGTTAATGTAATTGATCCAGATGCATAAGGATTTAGTGATCATTCACTTCTGTAACTGAATTAATGAATTCGTTTTCTTGTTACTGTCGTCATCTTTTCTTGCAACTTCCAAGTTATCTTTTACTTCAAGAAAATCCACGCTGATTATAAGGCCGCCATCTTTTCTGCTGTCACTGACGCATCTCATTGTGGTAAGAGAGTAAACAAATGCAGAAAATTCCTCAAATTAATTTGAACGTGAAAATTTTTTCACTATCAAAAGCGATTTACAGAATTGTTTTAACAGTAGAAAGTACAAGAATATTTGTTTCATTGTGTGAAGAATATATAATTAAGAAAATTTTATATTTAGTAAATTAGTGAAATGTCCAAAATCTGTATTTTTGAAAAGACCACATTTCGACAAATGAGTTTATTACTTGGCTGTTTCTTGTCACTTACGCTCTTTGACCATAATGGATATAAAGTAACCGTTGCTTTATTGTTATCTGAAATTTCTCATGTTGTTATATAGAGCGTCATTATGTTACTGATTCTTGTCATACGCTTGTCCATCAAAAATGGTTTTCTTTTAGGTTTGAGCTGCGATTATAAGCTGAGTACTATCAAGTTGGTTAATTGAATGGACAGTGTTCTTTGTTTTCATTTAGACACCTTTTTTCTAAACTGCAACCACGGGATGCATTTTCTAAATGATTTCAAAAAGATATCTAGTCAGTGATAGTGATATGTTCACATTAAATCTGTTATTCCGGAATGTTCGGAGAATTGGCACTTGCATAATATGACTTCATCTTTAAAATACCATGTAGTAATATTGCGTGCCAGCTGTGCATGACATTCATTTTGTGTGTGCTTCATTTGAGACTGTGTTACATAGTCATAAAGATGTCATTTGAAATACACAGGTGCGTTGTTCTAATGAGGTATTTTGTATATTTTATTAGCGCTGTATAGTAATTTAAATCAATCTCTGAAACATTTAGTCGTAAAAAGTTTGTGCTAAAAATGTTCTTGTTTGCTAAGGTTATCACCATTTTCATAATTGTTTTGATATCCATTCACTGTATTTTTCCATAGGGTTATCATTATCAGTTATCAATTTGGCTGATAGATATTCGAATGATATATCAATATTTTTTACAGCAAAGTAGGCTGAACTGCAGAATTTTATCCTTTTCGGAGCTAATTTATTTGGTAGAGTTGGTTCTGCTAAAGCCCATATACAATTTATAAATCATTGTTAACTGGTCTTCGTGTCGTATTCTTTTGATGCCATGTTTACTTTAGCTCGGATGCATCGACTGCGTCATGTAGATACTAAGCAAACCGAGTTGCTGAGATATGCATCGGCCACTTTAGGAAGTGGAAATTTGCGTGAGGCTGTAAAATTGCCACAGGGCGAAGATCCCAACGAATGGATCGCTGTAAACGGTACGTACACTTCTGTTGACAACGGTACGTACTGAGGTATGTAGTATTCCGACTTCCGCAAATTATACGTGCTGGCCTTTTTTTGTATTCGTAAATGAAAGAGATGGAGAAGAAATTGTAGAAGCGAGTTAGTTAATTGCAGTTGTAACTTTCAGTTCTGGATTTTTTCAACCAAGTGAGCATGTTGTTCGGGACAATAAGTGATCACTGTACGAAGGAATCTTGTCCTAGAATGTGTGCGGGTACGAAATATGAGTACGTTTGGTCGGATGGTAGGAAAACAATTACATGTCCAGCGCCTGTATATATCGATTATTTGATGACTTGGGTGCACGAGCAGCTAGATGACGAGAACGTCTTCCCTTCTCAGATTGGTAGTTCTTTCTCCTACCTGTTTACATCCAAAGAAGTTCCTCTAGATTGTATTTCTTTCTCTTGGTCTGCAGGAGATATTTATGAGGACTGATGATGCAAATAGGTTTGTATGTACACTTACATTTATGATCATACTTTTCGTTGACTTTTTAACGGCATTATTTGAGTTCAGGACAGCCTTTCCCACCAAATTTCTTGCGTATCGCACAAGCGGTTGTGAAACGACTATTTCGGGTGTATGCTCATGTGTATCATCAACATCTCGAACTTATTGGTATATACTTTCGATTCTTCCTTCACTCGAAATTCATCAAATCGTTCATTGTTTAAAAATTGGATTATGGTTAATTATAGAGCTTCTACGAAGATGAATATTATTATCACGGTAGTGTAAAATAGTATATTATGAGGCCGGAGTGATTCATACTTGCTCGACTTGAGACGGAAAGTTGTGCAGCCAGATTGTTGTATGTAAAATTAGTGAAATTCCTGCTATATGTCGAGTTATTCCTTGCAGTCTACAGGCCCTATAACTTGTTTTACAAAGGGCCTGTTTTACTGAATTTCCCATTTTAAATTTTGCTAGTTTACATTTCCAATCAAAATGAATTTGAAGTAGATAAGAAATTGTAATACTTTTTCATGCATTTCAGAACAACTTAATGCAGTAGAGCATTTAAATACCAGTTTCAAGCATTTCATGCTTTTTATACAAGAATTTGACTTGATTGATTCAAAACAGCTGGCACCTCTGCAAAGCTTCATTGATCGGCTTACTCTGGAAGAGAATTCAGCAGTGCTATGATGGACCGAAGACCAACTTTTGCTTTTTGCTACCTCACCCCAAAATGCTGAATTTTTTGATCGAAGGCATGGATATGCGTCTCAATTAGTTTTCGGTAGTATTATCATCTGACTGTTTGAAAAGAAGCAGATGCTTCTGTTTTGCTTGCGTAGTTTTCTCATTGTTTGCGAATATTGATATTCGTCATTCAAAAAAAAAAAAAAAAGAATATAAAACTTTATTCCAGTGTCCCAGCCTACTAAGTTTTAATTGTCGCAAGAAATATTTTCGGATTATGATTTCGGAGTAGACACTTCCTTTCCATTTTGTGTAAATAAACAAAGAGAAGTTGGCACTTTCTTCACAGTCTCTGATGCAAGGAAGGTTGCACGAAACTGCATAGTATGGAGAAATTTTGTAAAGGTACGGTTTTTTGTCGCGCATCTTTCCAGCTGTAACATACAACACAGTTTCGTTTTTCCTAGTTACGTTTTTCACAATTAACTATGTTCCAAGCCTATTTATAACTCGAAATTAATCAATATCCCCTACATTCTCAAATGTTGTTAGGTTCTATAAATCTTGAGACATCGCAGGGTAATGAGATATTTCTGTTCTGGAACAGTATTATAACATTATAACATAGTTGTCCTTGTAGGTATCCTGAAACTTATGAATTTAGATTCTTCCAGTTTTAATTGATTCGTTATGTTGTATTCAATGTTTGCCAAGTTCTTGCTCAACTTCCGCGCTTTATGGGCAACTTTTCCAAATCCAAAAGTGTTGTTTGAACTTTTATGACGTGACGTGGAGCGTTTATGTTTTACTTGCACCATAGTGGAACGGTCTGGCTTGCATAAATACTGAGTGACATGCACTGGTCCAGACACCTGCACTATAACCCACGTATTGCAACTGAAGTTTCCTTCCCTATCAAAATCATTTTTCGGACGTTCAAGATGGATTTTAGTTTGACCCTTCGAAAAAAAGAAGGATTCGATCCAGTTTTTTTAATGTTTACTCATTAAAAATCAGTACGAAGTGGATACAGATTCTTGTACTTTCAAGTAACAAATGAAACGCAAACTCGCCATAGCGATAATTCACACACTTTATCAAATAAGCAGGTCCCAGTCAGTCATACTTGCACTGTCCATGAAATCTATAGCCGTCTGCGTCAGTGCATCATTACCAGTAAAAGTGGAAGTTTGCGTCTCAATATGACGCCAGATGTCCTCAAATTCGAAGTCGTTATGTGTCTTGTTGTGTTTTACATTGAGATCACTGCTATCCACATCTTCCGGATAGATCTGCGTACCAAACTCAACTCCGCTTGCAATATGTGTTTGGCAGTGGAAATCGTTATATTTGTGTAATACCTAGAAAATGACTTGCATAATTTTTAGTAACCAGACACTGTGATCAAAGTTTTAAGAAATTACCGGTGTGGAGAGTTCGCAAGTACTACACTGAGCCGTCTGTGAACCTGCGTGACGCATAACCGATCTATCATAATATTTCACATAATCTGTTTGGCTGCTTTTTGTTGCCCGAAAGCTCAAATTAAAAGGAGTTAAGTAATACCTGAAGTACATAGAAAGCGTAATTATACAAGATATTTTTGAAATATTACATATGGGGGTCTACTTTGTTTCAAACTATGTTCCGCTCAAAAATTGACTGGGATAATAGAAAACCTTCAGTAATTTCTACACAACGAGTCTGAATAATGGGCTTGACTTGACCTGTCCTATGAAAATCTAAAGAAGTTGGTGCATGTCGTGTTTCAGTCAATTTAAACATCATAAGAGGAGCAACAAATCGCGCGCTTTCGACACAGATATAGATATTGGGTCACGAACAAAATAAAATGAACAACTAATCGATTATGCTGCAAATTTTCGTTGTGAATATTCTTTTAGAATTATGCAAAACGAAGGTCAACGTCGTGAGTACAAAATAAAACGACTTACAATTCTACCGATACAAAGTGCCAGATATCTCCCAAATATCCAGTCTTGAAATGCAACTTTTGCTATGGGGTGGTGAAAAGCTACTTGTCATAAAATAAAAGAGAGTTCAACACATCGTAAGAACCCGCAGGAGTGATTAGAACGAGATGAATACGAAAATGTCCCATAGGATTAGACCGTGCAATAAGCAAGGATGTTAATGGGAACTTAAGTTCTTAAACAATATTAAACAGTGCGAGTCACAGGCTAGACGATCTAGATCCCAAAGTGATCAAACCAAATGAATGTAAGAAAAAAGGTATGATGGACATTCCTAAACAATTCTGGCCCTCGCTTTTGGAGACAGAAAATGAATAGCTTAATTGATATTGCATATACTTTTCTTCACTGAATGAAACAAAATTTCCGTCCCAATAATTTATGAACTCATATATTGACATAATACAAAGACAATATCGGACTTTAAGTGAGAAACCTTAGAAAGGAAAATGATAATCAACAACAGAACATTGGACAGGCGGTTCTTTCCATCTGCTCGTAGAGATTTAAGAAGAATTAACATCATTGATTTACATTGGGCAAAATCAACTATAACTTACTTTGGTTTCGGTTGAATTTCTCTCAAAGATCGTGAACGACTGGCCTGAACAGCATTCACACTGATGATGATGACGTTTGTGACTTTATTCCTGAAAAACTGCACTACAGTTAGCCATACATAAATAGGGGAATACAGCGAAGATATTTCTCAACTGACTCAGGCAATACAGAGACCATATTTTGATTGCTGTTTTTCGTAAGTGATTTTTTTGAACGCCTTTCTACTTCTGGACAATCTGATTTCATTCCAATTAATGTTGACGTATGGATATTACAATCTAAAAATATAACAGCTTATAAGATTTATGAATGGAAAACCAATCAATATGCATTCTGGAAGATTAGTGAAAGAGTAAAAATCTGTAAAGATCGCATGTTACTTCTGAAAGAAAATATTGAAAAATTAAGAAGACATTCCTTTTTTTAATAGACACCGCTTCCTTTGATGATATAGTAGATCACGCTGCAAACTGAATCTTGCCGTTTTGCATTTATCACATCTACAAACATAACAAATTGTTAAAAACATGAAACTGCTAGGAAAAAGCAATGGAAAATGATAAGACATATAAAACTAAAAAAACATAAGAAAACGTCACCTAAAACGCTTTTCACCGTGAACTTTAAAAAAATGTTGATGAAGAAGTTTGAAAGCATTGAAAGAGCGACCATTATTAAACCGACAACCAATGACAGGACAGAAGTAATGCCTTTCAGTTTCTGAAAGTTGTAAACTTAGTTTAGATTTACTTGACCACTAACTTATTCCTAAAAGCTTTTTTCATCTATCCCAAAGACAACCAAAACGATGAAAGAGATCAGCAAACATAGACCTTTACATACTTGAAGCAACTCGTTTTCGATGAAATAATGCCGAATCAACTTCCCCGCATATACGATTATGCGTCTTCACCTGGTGCAGACGGAATGCATTCTTATTCGCAAATGTCCGCGAACAAATTTCGCAGAATGCTATGGAAGACCCCTCTCTTAACTCGTCTTCTGTCATACGAATTTCCATGCAATCCGATGCACTTTGTTCAAAAGCACCATTGTTCATCACTAGAACAGTATCAGTTATTAACGAATCAACTGCTTCTTACAATGCATCTATGCACAGATCTATTCCTTGTCCTTCAACATTGAGAAATTCTGGTTAAAACCAGACCAAATGAAGGATGGAAATCCAATTAAAAATACTAACAAGCTCTTTATTAATATTTTTATTTAAAACTCAGCATTCATCAGTAACAAACTAACAGTTTAACACAATAAGCATGCACATACCAAATATAGATTTCAAGGAAAATACTAAACTATTTGAATATCATAAAAGGGCGAGATGAATAACTATGGTACAACCTCACATTCATCAAGTTCTAGCACATAAACAATAACTTTTGACAACCAGTCTGAATTCTCATTTCTTCCATGTATTTTATTTTATACGCATAAGAATGCATTGGCGATTTCGCGAAACGTTGGCCTTTTTCGGTAATCTTGCACCACGCATTTTAATCCAGTTTGTAACATCAGATTGAAGTAACTGACGTCTAGATCTAAAAGTTCTTAAGAATGAAAAGATTTTAAAATAAGTTCTAAACATTTTATATCTATAAACAAATATTTATTAGTTAGTGGACACTGCGAAAATGACAAATTCGACCACTAAAATAAATTCATTTTGTAAAAAACTAACCATTGGTAAATTCGCATTGGTGATCAGCCAGAATACTTTCCTGCTTTCCAGACCTTTGATGATTTGTAACATATTCTACAATATTTTGTGGATCCCGTTTAACAACATGAGGCTTTAATCCCGTTGCGACTTCTAACAAAACTATACCGTAACTATATACATCGAGCTTTGTACTAATTATTCTCCTAAAGTAAGAATAATAAAGATCAGAAAAAATCAAATTCATGAATTCTTGACGGATCTAATACTGCTTTTGTCACAATTCATGTGCATGTTATAAAGCGTTAACAAATATGTAAACCCCTTTTCGCTAGAATAAAATGCTTAGAAAAACTACATATTAAGGCTTTCATAAAAGCTGCATTAAACAACAATTATAAATAACTAACTCTGTAAGAAACTCCTGCGGCAGATATGCCAATGTCCCCTTAACGTGAGAAGCGATAACGAAACCATCGTCTTTCCAGTCATCCTGCTTTATATATTTTTTGCATTCATGGATGAATGATAGTCTTTACCACCATAAATCACAGTAAATGATTCGTCATAATTTAAACAGAATTCTCATCAACTAGCAAAATGGCTTCAAGATGATTGCATCTCAACAAAAAAAAAATCACAATACTAACTTTTGAAAAGCTATCTCGGCATAAACCAAAATCACCTAATTTTGGTTCCAAATGTTTGTCAAGCAAAATGTTCGCTGATTTTACATCTCCGTGAATTATTGGATTCTTTGCAACGGAATGCAAATAATGTAGGGCACGAGCGCAACCTATCATTACTGATATACGTCGCAACCAAGTAAGAACCATGGATTTCTGCAAAACTATATTGCATAAACTGTAGTTCAAATGGCTTTCAAAAGCAAATAATTATGAAATATTTGAAACTTATTGATAAGTTAGGGGAAAACTGGCAGTAAAAACTGTCACTTATGATGAATTTATCAGTGACTGTATAAAACCATACAAAAAAATCACAAAACCATGAATTCTTACTTTTCTGAAGAGACAATCGAACAATGAACCATTGCTCATATACTGGTAGAGCAAACAAGGTTGAGGACCATCCAGTGAATATGCATAAAGTGGCAGGATGTTGTCATGCCGATACTTTGACAACATTCTTAGTTCTTGCAAACTTTGACGCATTTGTTCTTTCTGAAGAATCCAGTTCTGGATTTCTACAACTTTATCAAAAATTCTTAATGAATATTGTACTACATAAAACTATAAGTAACCTTAGCTCCATACTCCTTCGCAGTCTGTATACGCTTTACTGCAACCTGAAAATATCCTGTATAAACCCTTTTAAATAGTCGAACAACGCCATTTAGCGCGGATGACAAATTTGGTTAAAAAATATACATCGGTGCAATTTATTTTTTATGTCATATGTATACTAGGAATATAACTCTTACCTCTGTTTGCTCCCATGTTCCTCGATAAACAGTCCCATAACCTCCACTTCCAAGAATGTTTTTCGGGGAAAAACCGCTCGTAATTCTCACAATGTCATCGTACTTAATGCATGGCGTATTTTGAAGAGTTTTATATATTTTATGTGAGTCGGTAAAAGTACTGAAATGACCCAACAAAAAAATCAAAGGAATATAAGCCTGCATAGATCTTGCTATGCTCGAAATAAATATTTAAATTTAAGAAATAATTACTCAGTTTCTGAGTCCAACCACCTCATATTATTAGAGTATTTCACCGAAAACGTTTCTCCAAAGCAAAGTGTTAAAACATCGCCACTCTGCAATACAGTAAAATAGAACAGATTGCTCTTGTTTTCTTCCAGCGAAATTTGAAAAACAGAAACACTTATATTAACAGCATACTTTAGTTGAACAGCACGAACGAGATGCTGTTGCTTTTTCGCCTTCTTGACTCTTTTCATCTGGAGATTGCAAGCATTGTTCTTCCCAATAATAAAACAGCGGATTTACTGCAAAAGAAAATTGATTATTCGACCATTTCATTAGTTCTCGTCATACGTTTGTTAAATATTAATTCCAGGTCAACAAGTTTTGTTTTTCGTGCTCATATCGACGACTGCTGGATACATCAAAAAAGTTGCGATAGAAAACTAAAGATCTAGAAACCTTGAATTAATGCTACACAAGCCAAATCAAGCACAAATTACTTAAATTCATATATGCATTCATAGAAACACTTAAATTCACTTAAATTCATCATAGAAACAATAATAAAAATCTTAAAATATCAAACTTCGTTAGGCTTTAACAGGAAACAAAAGTGCCAAGAAAAACAAACCTAGATGACGCATTGCTTTCATAGCACGGACAAGTTTCGCGCGACCAAGGCAGTTGTAAAGTTGAGTTACTTTGTTTCCTTTTGATCCCCATATTGCCAGAAGATTCTCTGTCGGGCTTTCAAAAGACCCTGCATCCCGACAAGCTTGTATATCTGCATTCCCAATATCTGGCATCACAAACGCTGGAAATTTATATCATGTATAGACAAGAAAAATGAACCGTTTTTTAATAGATATGACGTTTTGCATTTTAAAGCTACGCAAAACCGCTCATATGCGGATTTATTGAATTTTTTTTCTTTTGGATATAAGAATGTAAATATCAGTGATCAAACCTAGCAATTCCCATGCATTATCTATATCCAAAATTGCAGCTAACTGCTTTCGGACGGTGAATGGTAACGAATATACATACATATCACTGCTGGATGACGCGCCAGTCATTTCCATTCCAAAATATTCCATTGGCGTCACCCGTTTGCAGCCACTGGGTATTATTCTTGAACAACGAATTTTAGACGTCCATTCGAATTGCATGGGCGATGTGAAAATCAATTTTTCAGGCAGAAAAGTTGTTGCAAACTATTAGCTGTACCTCTGATTTCGATTATTTAGGGAATGTGAATGTCAGGTTTGATGAGGAGTGATTTTCTTGGTTTAATTCCTATAACTAACTCATGACTATTTCCTTTGTATCCTAATTGTGGCGAAAAAAATAGTGAAATAGAGCAGATTTCGAATACTTCGAGTATTTCTGATGTCAAGAACTGAACATAAAGTACTGGTAAATGTGACGCATTTCGAGATTTTAGCTCAAGCTGCAAAGTTTTTAATGTAAATCAACTTAAATTTTCAATTTACTAGGAGGTACCGGTGAAGATTTCATGATCACTATTTAAAGCCTATACCAGAGTTTCATCATTAAGTTCTTCAAAAGGCTCCTAGTAAAAGTGGGGGTTGTTATGGAAACAATAAGCAGCTTTCTGCATTTCAAGCATCGCATAATCTCTTCTGTTTGATGCGACCGATATTGCAGTGGATTGATAAGGTATCCGAGGATGATAGCGAAGCAGGGTTTGTTCATGTTTTTATTATCCATTTATTTATTTATCTCACATTTTAAATTGATTTTTCTGGTGCTTAAGCATAATTAAATGATATTGGCGGATGTGTGCGCTGGAAATGATCGTTCCAGACTCAAGGACAAGGATTTGTAAGTATATGTACTCCCATCTCTTTTGTCACATCTATTGTGTAAGACCGACGGAAGGTTGTGATGTAATAGGCTAAATAGCTAAAGATTAAAGAATCGCCAGTTTGATTTCAAACTATAGCTGGAGGATAGAGTTAACTCGTCGTAATTTTATTCCTTTTCAGTTTTGTAGCATTTTATATCTACATTTTATATCCACTGGCCATTTTATATCTACATGATTCATTGCAGAGTAGTAAGATCGAGTAGTTGTAGGTAGTTAATGTCGCAATGAACAGTTTATGGACGATAAGTTTATCAAAATTACTTTGACTTAGGAAAAAAAATTGGACGCTGGAACTTTGCCATTTATCATTCATCAATCTTTAAAATGTTAAAAAAATCATGTATTTCGCAAAAGTAAAATAAAGCACGGTTAATTCATTCCGTTCAAAATTCGGTATCACAGGTTAGCTTCAAATGATAAAGCGCATCGACTTATGTCTAAGTTATTGTTATTTGATATCGTGTCAATCATTTACCGAAGCGTAGGAAATTAGGCTTTCGATTTTCGTGACTGAATCTTTCGTTGTATTCTCGACTGGGTTGCAAGAAATTATTTCTTCCGAAACGCAAAAAATTTGTGCCTTTCATTTCAATGCGTTTCCCAAATCGAAGGAAATTCGGTTCAGCAGATTTCCCAAATCTTAAGAAATTTGGGTCTCTCATGCGACCTGAAAGAGTCGTTTTCGTTTACTTCTGAGAAATTTCAAATATTCACATTTTGGAAAATAAATTTAATATGTCAAAAACAGTAGAATCCTGTACCAGTGTAGTTCTTGATACGATCCTGGTACGATTTACACCTTGCAGATTTATACCTTGTGTATCATTGCTACAACTCAAACCGGATAGTTTCTCAAATGAGTGAAACAAGTACGTTTGGAATTGGATGTTACAGTCAGTTCACGTAATTCACATAATTGTTAGAAATGGGAAGTGTTACTGGAATTTATTACAAAAGCATGATAATATTGTTTTACCAAATCGAAGGAAATTTTGTCTGCTAGGTGCGAATGTACTTGATGAATGTCCAAATTGTAAAAAATTCGGATCTACTTTTTTTCCGTACATTATGGGTGCTGAAAATAATACATTTGTTTGTAGTAAATAAAAAATACTTCTTGTTGAGAAATAATTCTTAAACTGCATAGCTATTGAACACCTCCTTCACTTTGATTCTCGTCTTTCTTAAATAATGACTTCGAATCTAATTCATACGACATGGAATAAAAATTGCAAAATTGAGTGCAAAAATTCAATGTGATTGAATTTTGCAATATTGATTTTAGCAGTCTTACGTTACTGTTAAAATCAATATTGCAAAATTGAGCATCAAGAAACCCCATCGGCGCACCTGATATTAGATATCGAATGTTGTCAAAAAGGCATGTCTCAAGAAGTTACACCAAAATCAATATTTTCTGGAATTTCTCTTCTGCATAAGATATGACGTAGATTGGAATAAATGAAATAGATATACCAGTTCTACCAAATCGAATGAAATTAGGCTTTCTTTTTTCAATTTTTCTGGCTGCCTCATTGGCATCTCCTTGACAATCATCCCCAAAATGTCGCCTTATTTCAGTTTGCTGTGAAATCGAAAGAATGTTGAATATAGTGCAAAAATTCGATGTGATTGAATTTCTGCAGCACTCACTTGATACCTTAAAATTTCATGGATTTCAATGTGCTTTCCCGTCCACTCGAAGGTTCCCCTCTTCCTCTTCTTTTCTCCCACTATCCTTAAAATCAAAGTTTAACTTCCTCAGTACCAATACCATTAACATATTGTATCGAAAATTGCAATAGAGGAAATTTAAATTTTCAAAGATATGTAGCATGTGGCAAGTAGGTAGGTATGTATACATGTATATCATAGGGAATATTACATGTTTTGCGTAACCGGTTTCGAATGCATTGTAGGAATAATTTGAGCATATAAAAGAAGGAAATGTAATATTCCCTATGATATACTTATGAATATCGTTCTTGAAAGCAATAATACTTAAAATAGATAGGTGAAGAAGAATGTGTTACGTATAGCTAGTCCCACCTGGAGATTTTAAGAATTATGTGTCTTTATCATTGCATTTGCTTTCTTTCTTATCTTCATTATCTCGAGTATTCTAAAGATTTAATGCAGACAAGCAACATTATCATAATATATCTTAGATTAATGACTTTGTCAAAAAGTTTTTCGATGTAATATTTTATTCTTGATTTTTGTAGTATGGTAACTCTCTTCTCCTTATGGTATTAAAAGAATAAGTAACTCATAAACTTTGCAGGAAAGATGGGAAATCTTTTCACTCCTTTGTTTTTTTTTGATTGAAGTTACGCCTTAACTTCTAATTAATTTATTTCTTAACTGAAAAACTGAATCAGTAAGGAGAAATTAAGGGTGCATTGCTGTGGTGGACAATATTAATGGGCTGGGATGAAATAGAAGAGTAAGATAGTGTGTGGTATTGTGCAATAGTTGCAATCGGTGCTGGGAATGAAGAAATCGGAAATTTGCTTTACTGAGTGATCTTAATTTAGTGGGGAGCAATCCTTCTGAAGTCTGGTGTAAGGGAAGTATATAAAGGATCAACAACGGTACATTTACATACCACAGAAAAAGTAAACTACCTCTGTTAAGCTGCATACCAGAAGAATAGCGTGGACTAGAACCATAACTGAATATTGCTCTTCCTTCTTTCTCCATATTTATATGCTAAGAAATGATAATGAAATTAACTGTGGTTCCTGAAATGCCACATGTGTATCAGATTTACTCATCCTTCTACGTTATTGTTTGCAGTAATGAACATGTCATCATTCTAATATGTACTATTTTTATATTTTTAGCAGCTTTTAACCATTATTTTAACCAAGCAATCTGATAATTTGTAAACAAATGAATGTAAGTATTTTAAATGTTGTTAACACTAATCTTTTACATATCCATAATGTATTACTATAAACAATGAATTTATGAATCAATTGCAAAACCCGCTGAAATTCCCTCAAAAGAGTATGAAAATAAAAATGAATAAAATGTCACTGTTACAGGAATATTTTCCCAGAAGCCTGAGTGCTTCATGTTCTTTCTGAATTACGACACTTCTTGCCTTTATAAATTCATGGAAAACACAAAGCAAATTATCTTTGAACACATATAGTCCTTCTTCTCTTTGCTTTTCAAAATGATGCCGTACGGTAGATTAAATGAAGTAGAGCCAAGAATTAAAAACCGAGAAAAAAGGCGACGCTATTCCTCTTTATTTGATTTTGATCTAGCATTTCTTATCCGACCTATCACACAAAACCCCGATAGTAACAAGAGCCTTCAGCCTTCACAGTTATCAATTTATTCCTAACACACAACTGTAATCTGTTCTCCCAATAATAATTCTGTTAAATCATAAGAACATTTTAGATGCTGCGTTTATGATTTGGCTTTCAAACCAGATGGTTCGGAATTGCTCGTTGCTGCTGGTACGAAAGTTTTGATTTATGATGGTACAGATGGCACATTGTTGCAGTCTTTGAAAGGTTCAGTCGCTTTTGAATTTTAGTCTTATTAACGCAAAATTATGACAGAATGAAACTTTATTTCTTTGTTTACAGGTCATAAGGATCTCGTGTATGCCGTTTCATTTTCATATAATGGCGAAAATTTTGCATCCGGTTCCGCCGACCGTTCTGTTATCATATGGACAGAGCAACATGAAGGAACGCTTAAATATATGTCTCTTTTTCTTTCCAAAATTGCCATCTGAGTTTCAGTATTGAATTACTTCCGCTTTTATTTTATTTAATGTAGATCCCGACTACATTACTGTCGTAGTTTAATAATGTATCCGCCACTATTAGCACAACGAACCTTTTCGATGTTCGGGATTGTGCACCATAGTGATATATTGCATAAGACTTAATATTTTATATTACATACTCCTCATCAAGACTGTAATTAACACCGATTAAATACCACTTATGCAGCGATAATTAAAAATTGTCGTGCTGACATATCAGTTTTTAGACATCAAAAAAAGTAGAGGATTTGAATCCTTCGTATTTCAGAATTTTTACTATTCTTGTGCAATGTTTCAATACACCAGTCGAAAATTTATAAAGCAAATACAGTTGCAGACAGAGATAACAGACTTCTATTAATTTAACATATGGGAATTTTTTATTCTTATTAGATAGACATTTCTAGACACAATGAAGCGATACAGTGTCTTGCTTTTAGTCCTGCAACATGCTTTTTGCTTAGCTGTGCCATCAGTGATTTCGGTAAGCATTTGGATTTGTCTTTGCATAAATAGAATGATTAGCTATCCTTAACATATTATTTCATAATTGTAGCTCAGAATAAATATTACACATCCTAATAAATGAAATTTGTACTGAACAAATCAGATAACTTCAAAAGCTGGACCTAAAGATCGAACTTTTTTATAAGTCTGAATTACAATCCGACTTGCAAAGGCTTTATCCTTAATAAATTCATGAGTTTAAATATTTTCTTTAGGGATATGGACTCAATTGGAAAAAAGTGTTAGCAAACAGCGAACATCAAGCAGGTGCATTTGTTGCGCATGGAGCTGTGATGGTCAACTTTATGCCATTGGAATGTTTGACGGCACTGTATCTCTGCGTTCCGCTACGGTCAACTGCATTTTCATTCTTTTTTTCCATGGCGGCAAGCATAAAAACATGGCTTTTGTAACTGACAAAAATTTTTATAATTTTTGTCTGCTCCACTTCTTATGCCTTGCTTCTTTGATTTCTGCCCTCAAACTCGAGCTTCTGAGTTTCCTTTCTTGCTGATGCATTTATACCAAATATTTTCAAGTACTATGTTACTGGTAAAACACATTTAAGTACAAAAGATTAAAATAACAGTACAATCTACATTAAGTACAAAAGATTAAAATAACAGTACAATCTACATTAAGTACAAAAGATTAAAATAACAGTACAATACAATATTGAACACATACGAAGACGATTAGAAAAAAACATAAAAATTCATTCTACAATAACATTATTCTGAAATAGCAAAAGTTTGAACTGAGTTTTTGTTACAACAAACAGAATGTCTTCTCCTCATGCACTTCGTTTATTTTTCAGAATAATATAGAAATAAAGAAGATTGAACGACCCTCTGGCGAGCCTGTTTGGGCGATTACTTTTGGGGCAGCTCGAAGCACTTCGTGAGTTCTTCTTAAACTTTCTTACTTGCATATCTTGCTTAAAAATTCTTAAAAAATAACAAGCTTGCATATTAGAATTTTTGACATTGTAATATCAATATTCACAAAAGGTAAATTGTTTTCTCTTTTCTCTTCATTTTCAATTATATGTCGTTTTCTTCATCCAAACCTTATTGTAACCGGAAAATTAAGTAAAAATATCAATTTTAAGGACTTTTTTCAAATACACTGATTGATGATTATTTGCGGAATATTCCTCGAAAGGCAATTTACAAGTACAATATGTTTTTATTATTTTCAGCACTTTTGACGAAATTCTGGTATTGGTAGATTGGGCACAAACAGCTGCATTTTACGATTTGGAAGGAAATCAGGTGGGAAATATTGTCATCTCAACTACTCTGTTTTCTAAGTTTATTAAGACCTTTGACCTGTGGAGGTACAGTAGTTGCACTTGAAGTTTATTGTTAACGCTTAGAAAAAATTGCTATTATATGATTATATGATATATTATATTATATCATTGCATGATTGCAGCTTGTCCGAGAAGACAAAAAACTTGGCTATGATCCTACAGGAATAGAATTTTTTAACTACGGCCAGTTTCTAATAATATGTGGCTCCAATCATCAGGTCACTCTTTATAGTCGCGAAGGTTTGTACAAAGCTATACGCACTCCCAATAAACTTTAATGACCACTATGTTTTTCATTGAGAATGATATTTTAAGATTTTTATTTCTGATTTTTGGATCACTGCAATTTTTTATTATACCCAAAATCAGTTACTAACTACTGTAGGAACAACGCTGGGTACAGTTGCACAGATGGATACATGGGTGTGGACAGTAAAAACTAGACCGAATACAAACGCAGTTGTTGGTTAGTCCTAATCATTTTCAACTTTCCGTACATATGATGTAGCAGAATTTGGATTGGAGTTGCTATTTGCAGTTGGTTGCGTGGATGGTACATTGGCGTGCTACCAGTTAATGTTTAGCACAGTACATGGATTGCATAAAGTAGGTTATAGAAGAAACACTTTTAATTTACTTACGATATTTGCTTTGAACATTCTGGGCTTATTAAATTGCTGTCAAATTGGTACTGTTCAGAAAACCGTAAATTTTAGGAACGATATGCGTACCGCGAGAATATGACCGAAGTGGTCGTGCAACATCTTTCAAATCAAACATCCATCAGAATTTATTGTAATGACTTAGTTCGCAAAGTGGCTGTATACTATAACCATTTAGCAGTGGGTTTCATTTTTTATTTTGAAGATATGAGGAATATAATCATTTTTTGCCCATAAATATAGGATGTCAGATTGAAAGGTAAGCGGTAAATGAAAGATCATGCTGTTTGAAAAAGTAATTCTTTTGAACGTATATTTTACTAAATACATACTGATGGAAGTTTATTTTAGGTGCAGCTCATCGATCGTGTTGAAATATATCGCCTTATGGTAGAGGGCGATGAGGGACAACCGGAATATAAATTGGTTGAGAAAATAAACCGTTCGTTCGAATGTTCACTGCTTGTAAGTACTGTAAGATCCTTTTTTGATATAAGTTTTCACATGATGTATAACTATTTCATTTGTATTTCATTCCAGTTCGCAAAGAAAAATTTCTTATATAGGTGATCTGCACGCATCATCTGATACTCTGCCAAGAACGACGCTTGCAATGCTATGACCATAAAGGACTTAAACAACGGGAATGGTTACTTGAATCTCTGATACGTTATATAAAGGTTGTTGGTGGACCATCAGGACGAGAAGCCATATTAATCGGTCTGCGAAATGGAGCTGTAAGTTTATTAGAGCAAAAACATCTTGCTAGAATTTGTCATTGTTTGCCTAAATTGTTTGGAAAATCCTTCTATTTAATAAAAAATGAAAGATTTAGGTATGTAAAATTTTTGTGGATAATCCGTTCATAACAGAGGTATTGCGTTTAAAAAGTGCTGTCAGGTGCCTTGATATCAGCCATATGAGGTATGTATCTTCTTACCTACATTTAGTTATTCAATGATATTTCATCCTTTTCTGAGGTTTTTTTACTTCGAGTAATTGTGAATTTCAGAGGAAAACTTGCAATCGTCGATGAAACCGGAATTTGCACCACTTTTGATGTCAAAACTAAACAGCTTCTATTCCAAGTTCAGTGTAATAATTTTTGTAGCATTAGATTTTGTAAATCGTAATATGAGAAACTGATGAGTTTTTATAGGAGCCATCATGCAACAGTGTTGCGTGGAACGCTGATCAGGAGAATCTTTTATGTTACTCTGGTAGTGGCGCACTGTGTATTAAAGCTAACAATTTCTCTTCGCATCAACAGAGAATGCAAGTATGATCTCAAAAAAATAATTTTAATTTTTTTTGTTGCATGTTTAGTGTCGAAGAATTTCTGAAAAATATTTAGTTACGAATAATAAATTTTTTAGGGCTTTGTAGTTCGGTTTTCGGGAAAGCGTGTCTTCTGTTTGCATATGTTTGCCATGATTGCAGTGGAAGTGCCTCTGTCTAATCAGTTATACCAATACCTTGAACAGAAAATGTACAGGTAAGAGTTTGAGATAATTTCATTGAATATAAAAGGACAAAATGCAACAATGGATGAATGATGTGTTTCTATCATCTTTGTAGGGAAGCATACGATTTGGCATCGTTAGGTGTAACTGAAGGTGACTGGGAAATTCTTGGCCATGATGCTTTACTTAACTTTCAACTCGATATTGCTCAAAAAGCTTTTCATAGAATTAAAGATGCACGTTACCTCCAATTGATCTCGGAAATCAAGGTATGAGAATTGAAATTTCTAATCTGTCCATTTATTCGACATACAAAGTTATGTTTTATATTTTGATCTGCCGAAGAACTGCTCTGATTCGGATTGAATTCTAGGATATGATAAAAGGGAATGCGAAAAAGGAGCTGATTCTGGGATGTATAAAAGCTTATGAAGGAAGATATCGCGAAGCAGCGATATTATTCCAAAAAACTGGACAGGAGCAAAAAACTCTAGAAATGTTCACAGATTTGCGCATGTTTGATCAAGCTCAGGTTGGAAGATAAATTTCATATAGCTTGCATGGCCACACTTTTATTTTCATTTTCTAAAATGTTTTGATGGATGGATGTAAGATTTTTTTTCAATACATTTATATCTTTTACTTGGTTTTATTATCTGTCTAGTCAGTTATTTCGTTCAATTATCATTTTCTGGTGCACAGATTCTCTTTTTACTTGAACACTGAGATATTTTCATCCAGGAACTGTTATCGTCCGCCTCCGAAGAAACTCAAAAAGCCCTGTTACGAAGGCGTGCTGATTGGGCACAGAATTCAAATGAGCCCATAATTGCAGCCGAAATGTTTGTAGCTTCAGGCGATTATGATAAAGCAGTTAATCTTATGATCAAAAATGATTGGATTGATATGTGAGCCCTTTTATCCTTGTATTTGGGAGTGGAGTGCTTGTAGAAATTGTTTTTTCCTTTTTCCTTTTCCTTTTTCATATAATTTTTATTGGAAATTTGGGTAAATATTTCTTAGGCTGATCAATCTTGCACATCGTATCGACAGAAGCAACGTTGACGTATTGCGCACCATTGGAAATTATTTGGCAAAAAAAGAAGAATATACTCTTGCCTCCCATTTATTCCAATCGATCAGTGATATCCGTGCCGTAATAAACATGTATGTCGGTGCGGCGCTGTGGAATGATGTAAGTTTTTATTCGTGGTTTATAAATTTTTTAAGTGTAGCTTCATGTTTTAAAAATAAGATTCCAAATAACAAGCCTATTTTTCAGGCATTTCTAGTAGCAGCGAAGCACCAAAAATATAATGAACAAGTTTACCTGCCTTACGCACGTTGGTTAGCAGAAAATGATCGTTTTGATGAGGCTCAAAATGGTTGGTACTTCAAATTTTTCTAGCATTTTTATCTAATATTGAATGTCACTTCTTCCATTTACATAAAAATAAATAAGTTTATATTTCACAGCCTATCATATGGCCGGGCATGATGTGGAAGCATTGCAAGTTTTGGAGCAATTAATGGGAAATGCTGTTCAAGAAAACCGTTTCGTTGATGCTGGATATTATAATTGGATGCTAAGCATGCAATATCTAGAACGGTGCAACAATGATCCTAAATTGAATGAAAAATTTCTGGACTTTAGTGACAAAGCAAATTGCTACTATGCCTTCGATGTCATTCATAAATATCTGGTTATTATTATGAATTATTGATTATTGAGTTACTGGGTTTGAGCTTTTTCCTTTCCTGTCCTACAGAAATTATTTATAGTTCTTCCAGGAATAATATTGAAAGGAACATTCTGAAAATTGAGTTGAAATTCCGAATCGCAAAATTAGATAATACTAAAATGTAATTTTCACACTTTAGTTTCTGAATGGATTCAATTAAAATATTGTTACCCGCGTTAGAATTATAATAAGTCTTCTAATTTGTTTTTTACCATTTATACTCTTAAGAAAGCAATTTATAGGCCGAACCTTTCACGAGCTGCCCAGCCGATGCTCTAATCAATATTGCACGTTATTTGGCTTTTCAAAAGGAAATTTACAAGATATCACGAGTGTAATTCTCTTTTCAAATTAGTTTTAAGGATAAAATTAATAGGAATATTTTGTTTTTAATATACTCTTAGGGAAGCGTGTGATCAGATAGTGCCAAGTACTTCATATTTTGTGAGCAAGTTTCTCACTGGTGCTATTAATTGGCATTACATAGTTGGCATCATATTTTTTGTTAGCAAGTTCTCACTGATACTATTAGTTGGCAGTTGACATCTATCTATTAATTTACGGTCAAACCGATATTCTTCGATAAGTAATTTGTTTCCAAATTCCTTTCCTGAATAACTATTCTCCATGCTGCTTGTCTTCATAGAGATATAAAAATAATAGAACTCCCACAAACAAACTGCAATTAAATCAATATATATGCAGAACGTATAATGTTTAAATGGCAGAATAAACAATGGAACAAAACAATATTTGTTTCAGGAGTATATTATACACTTTAATGAAACAGGGTCAAGTGCTGGGTGCCTACAAATTAGCACGATATGCCTTGGAGCAACTCAGTTATTTGAAAATTCCACGTCGTTTTGAAAAGTTTATTGAAATAGATGCTCTAATGATCCGATCGAAACCCTTTACCGATGCAGAAGAATTGCTGCCAATGTGTTATAGGTGAAGTTTTATAATATTGTTTTATAATATATGTTAATATTGTTATAAAAAGTTTTATAATATTGTTAGACCTTAAATGTAACATATAGGCGTTAGATATAATAACACTGCGCAAGTTTTGGTGCATATTAGTTGTGAAATGTCAATAAATCAGATTTTATCACCGTTTAACAATCAAATTTGTTTCAGATGTGGCATCTCTAATCCTCTCATTGGCACTAATGAATGCATACATTGCAAAACTCCGTTTATTTTATCATTTGTATCATTTGGTAAGTGTTTATGGATGGTGTTCCTATGCATTAGCGGCATAGAAACATTGCACAAAAAAGTTGGAGATCTTTGAGATTTCACTTCACACTTTACGTTGTATTCATGCTCGAAGCAACCCTTGACACAGAAAAAACCTCTACAAAAGAAACCGCACTTTTTAAATCTAACAAAGTTTTATAATACATAAATGGCTTATTTTTTGCTGCATTGTACAAAAGCATCAACTTTATCCACTAATTTTTGTCAAAAATAATTATTAAAAATTTTTGCAGAAGTTCTACCTCTTGTAGAATTTGTTGTCAGTGATGATATAAATTTAGAAGAAGCTCGACAACTGATCAGTACTGAACCCCCTCTTGATCAGATTGGAAACCCCTTACAGGAGCAGGTCAGTCCGGAAAAAGAAATTGTTCATTAATCCTAATATAGGTTAATTGAAATAAGTAATCAAATGGCTGATATCATGAATCTCAGTTTGAAGGAGTGTAGTCAGTTTTATTTAGCTTTTTGCGCCAACAGCAAGGACGTAGTTTGACCTAGTTTTTGAATAGTTCCAATATTTGCATTTTATTTCGATGCGATTTTTTTCATAGATTCTACATCTACTGAAATACAAATATATTCAGATGAATCTGAAAACTGGCAAAGTTGTGGCAGATCGTGAAACGTTGCTTAAATTGGAAAAGCAACAGGTTATAATTGCTGAGTGGCCGTCACCGCTCGTTACCCGTTTTTATTACAATGTTATACCAGAAATTTCGATAACTCAATGCAGTTCTTGTTACCGTGTTTGTTCTTTTATTTGTATATATTTTTTCATTCAAAAATTTGGTACCCTTTCTTAACAGTTGACCTTATTTGACATTTTGTATTAGACTTACAATTTTTCTAATCCTGAAACTTGGTCATTCCAAAATTACTGGAAGTATGAATTATTTTGATTGCAAATCTTCCAGTTTTTTTAATTTTGCTTATAGTAGCGTCGTTATGCTAGCTCTTCCACATTTCTTATTCTTTTTTATCTTCATTATGCACATTTCGTCAATCAAAAATCATCTTGAAAGGGTTATCACATACCGCCGATCGTAAATTAGCCCACATACAGTAAACTGAGAAAACTGAATTTCTACGAAAAATTTTTATCAAAAAAGTTACTCGAGCATCCCCAGTTATCAGTTTCTTACTAAAAATTAGGTGGCGCGGTCGCAGTCTGAGAAATATAGACAAATGTATTTTAGTTTTGAAATTGTGATGACCTCAGATTCTTCTTTTCAGATGTTTCATGCGGACGACTTCGAAATGGCGTGCCTCAAAACTGGTGCATGCCCTTTTTGCCATGTGGTTCCACAAAAGAAAATAGATCATAACTTTATTGATGACAACTATATAGAATGAACTTATTTTTTCGTATGTATAAAAAATTATATGGTGATACCTGTCAAAGAACATTTAAATGGCAGATTTGTTTTTATCATACAAATTTTATTGAAGACACATAGTAGCTGTTATATTTTGTTCTTCAAATTAAGATTATTGCAGTAGATTGGAAACATACAAGCAGGAAATTGTTAGCTCTTTAATTTTTATAATGCCAAAAAATAGAATTGTGGATCTGATACATATCATTTCACTTATTTCACCGTACTGCACATCATAAATGATAAATAAATTAAACCTTTTCATTGAAAATAGAGCCGTGCATGAACCACCGTTGCTAATATTAAGTGATGGTCGAAAAAAAACTAAATGACTTAAAATCATGACAAAACAAATTCTATCAAGATTAAAGATAGTGATTTTTAATGAAGTGCAATTTTATTCGAAAGGCCGATAAATAATTCATAGATTCAAATTTCTTTTAAAGTAGAGAGTCTGTTTATTACGCGTTGCTCCATTCTACTGAATCCATTAGCCAATAATGTTACAAAAAATGCGCAAATTTAGCAGTCAATTTCAGTCATCAGACTGTCGTTTTGACTTCATCCAATTTCAGGCTGATGATGAATAAAGTCGCTTTTTTTATATTTCAATTTGAGAGTGAAATAGTTTACGGCCAGTTCATTTGACTTTGTTTTGTCCAAGCCTGTTCACTTCTCTGGTTTATATTTAAGAAAACTTCTTATAGTAATGACAGTATTTTTATTTTCACCAAAAATCTGCTAACAGACGTAGCTTTTTTAATTAAGCAATACCTACAAAAGAAATAGTTTAGAATATGATCATAGTCGGATTAACTTTTTCATTCTTTTTAGATAGTATCTTCGTCTCTAACATATAAGGTTACCTTTTTCATATTCTTTCATAAGTTTTATTTAATATTGCGCATTTTAAATTACAAAATACAGGCAAAAAACTGGTTTGCAGATGCAATATCATTATGATTGGAATAAAATTCTGCGCAAACGACAGTGCAATTTGCATTCAACAGTGTTGATCTTTTTCATACTTAACTTCTCATTCTTTGTAGGTTGAATTTTAACAGTAGATTTTAATAGGGTCATTTAAAATATGAAATTTCTAGCATTCATGGCTTCCTGAAGTCTTATCAACATAAATTATTTGGTCATCTGTTTCCAAAAAAATATTGGTTTACAAAGAATTTTTGAATGACAAGTCTGTTCGGGAATGCTAGCGTGCTCTGACAACCACTAAAATGGTTACTGAAATTTATTATACTGGGTAGTGGGTAGCATTAATATTCACCATTCGAAACTGTCTATTGTTCGAAAAGCCGCGTGATCCCATAAGATTCATTAATCAACGTTTTAATGAATCTTGTGTGATGATCACATTATCTTAATGGAAACATATAAGAAAATTCTGAAATTATTCATGAATATAGATCACAGATCACAATTATCTAATGAAGGAAAGCAAATGTTATGAACATGTAATAATATTAAGTTCAAACTCTGTCAAATCTCCCAATTTGTTCTGAAAATATGAACATGTGCGTACTTGATAGTGTTTGAAGATACCTGTGAACATCAGCAACAGGTTAAAGACCGAATATCTTTTAGCTCATCACGTAGTATTACTTCTCTTGAAGGACCAAATTTTCTGGTGTTTTATACGAAATCTATTTGTTTTTTTAAAATCACTGATATATATTCCAACTTTTCAAATTTCATCAAATTAAAATATAAAATATACCAGTTAAAATTACTGAATGTTAATTTGCAGTAATTTTTCTATAGCTCAGCGTCAGTTGATAGCTGATTTGTACAATATGGTATCATGAAATCGTTGATTCCAACGCTATTGGAAATGTTTTGCTGTTCGCATCCATTCATTTGCGCATTTCATTGCTCTGTTTATTATGATGACTTCTTTTTAATTCATTGATGTCTGCAGAACTTTCTCACATTTTCCGCCACTTTCACCTGATTTCCGATGAATCACTTTAAAAATCCAATTTTGTTACAAACGAATCAAATATTGCAATGATTTTTTCTTTAGCTGCTCTGCCCTCCCTGCCAGAATAATTACGAAATAAGTTAAATTGTCTGTCTGTTGGCGTGAATCGATGGAAAGAGAACTTTATAGAAAGTACAGTTAACAGAGAGAGGGTAAAACAGGAGGTTTGCTCTCATATTCACAAGCTTTCTGTACGAAGGGAAAAGGATGCAAAGCATTCACTTCCAAGTTTGGTTCATCGTTTTTTAATGGAGGAAATTGTAAACTATTCATTTAATAGCAAGTGTGCTTAGGATTTGTTTTGGACCAACAACACTACCTAAGCATAGGCCGGGATGAAGATTTGTTGTGGGTGAATTTATGCACTAGCATCTTCATTTTTGAGATTTGAAATTCATCATCTTATCATGAACCGTTTCAGATGATTATTACGCTTTTTCCCTAGCTCACTTGTACCCATACTCCTTTTTTCCGACAATTTTTTAATATGAATTCATTTGATGAGATTCAGAGTAATTCTACTCATCTTTAGGTCCAAGATAATATTAGTGAAAACAGAAGTATGAACGATGAATTTATGTACTTTTTCCAATCAATTATTCAACGATCAATCAGAATTCCCCAGATCTACCACTCAGCCATAATCAGTATACCGTCAGTCCAAAAGTCTACAGCAGAGTGATTTGTAAGCAATTGTTTCTTCTGACGTTTGTGATGAATTTTTGTACAATAAAGAGAATGGTTTGACAATTTGAAGATACATTCAAGGTTTTGTAAAGATAAGTGATGTGCCTTATTTTTTTAATATTTTAAATACTGAAAGTTGTTTGGGGAGCAGAAGAGCAACAGATAAATTCATTTAAAGTATATATGATCACAACTACTACCTTGCAAGATATAAATGAATAGCAGTTGGGGGATAGTGTTGCCTAAAGTTCGTGGACGGCAATTATTAGTGTAGCAAAATTAATCGATAACATGGGACAGAGGTTAGAAAGGGACTGATAGTATAAGAGAGATATCATAGATAGCATAGTAACAAATAACCGAATGTCCATGACCTATTGATAGTCCTGTAAATCGTCTATAATTCATCTTAACTATGCGACATGCGGCATGCGGCATTTGACTTCTTTCCCATCAGATACTTGCAAACTATTTCTTGCTAATTGTGCACCATATCCTTTGTTCCATGCGTTCTATGTACGATGATGTTTGTTCTGTTCAGCAAAAAAAGTATAATTGATCAATACGGGAGGCTTCGAAACGCGAAGCGAAGAAGCATGTGAAAGGTCTGCAGGTATGCTTTATGTTCTCATGGATGGGCACTCTCACTGTTATCTCTCCTTTATAACAATAGGAAAACTGTCAGAAAACCGTGTTTGAGAAGATAGCTAAGTTAGGTATTGTTCTTACTACATCCGAGCTACATTTTTCTACCCGAAGCGTGTTTTCTTCCTCTCTGCATGAAGCGGGGTGGGCTGTCGTCTTTCATTTTTGCTAAAAATGTACGGAGGGGAATGTTATCCATGATGATAGCTCATCTGTCTAATTTCTATCTGACGCAGTGTCGTCGTCGAAGAAATGATGCCTGAAATATGTTATTCCTTTCCTTTATAGATAAGTATACCTGAATCTCTATTTGTGTATAAAATTACTATGTGACGTCGTGATGTACATATCGTTGCATGTGAAGTGCCACACCATCATTCAGAAACACTTTTACCGATTTAATTTGAGATTCACTTCAAGATGAAATTTGATGAATTGCTATTCACTAATCTGGGTGAATTTGGTCGTTATCAAAAGATACAGTTTGTACTGGTATGCTTGCCGATTATATTCGTTTCCATGCATGCACTGTCGTGGACGTTCAGTGCTGCCTCTGTTCCGCATAGGTTTGTGCTTTCTTCAGAAATTTTGTACTATGAAACTCTTTAAAAATTATATGTCTGACTAATGATCATGTCATAGCATTGAAGGCCTGCGAGCATTATGACACAGTAGTATCAAACTTTTAATCAAAAGTACCCGATTTTATGTGGCATTAGTAGGTTGGAAATTAATACAGCGGGGCTTTTACGGAAAAATATCTACAAACTTTTAACATTTGAATATGTCGTGGAAGTATAAAATAGCATTCTGTTACTAGTAATATATCTTGTTTACTACTTTAGTGAACCATAAAGAAGACGAAGAACTAAATGTAAATTCATGGAATAGAAATGTAGGGCTTGTACTAGTATTCAATTTCTATTGCGTTTATCAAAACAATAATATAATGAAATGGGCGACGCTAGCAATTGTAGATTTTCAACATAGTCCTTTTTCCTTTCAGCAAAATGGAGGATTGGGTCGGTCTAATCTTCAAATTTTTAATATTTTTTTTAAGATGTCGTTTGGCAAACGAAGGATTGGATGCAAACTATTGGACACAGAGTGATCTACTTATAACAGCAGCAAATTGTACGGAGAAAACAAAACGGTGCAGATACCAAGAATGTCAATTACGTAATGACTCGACGTGTCGACATGGATATGTTTATGATTTATCAGAGATCAAATACTCAGCCATTAATCGAGTAGGATTTTTTTTTAGATATTTACTTTATCTGTTGATGCTTGAATGAATTTGGGAGAGAACAAAGTCCTCATTTCAAATTTCGGAGTTATAGTGTATGAACTTTTGCACTTAGTGGTCTAGCTATTTCAATTCGTAAGAAATGCTTGATCGAAATAAAGCAGTAGTATTCGCACTCGGACGCCAAGGAGTACTTATAACCCAAATATTCAGTGTAACCCATTTCCTGATACCGGTGCCAGTACGCGGTTGGGATGATTGGGATGTTGTGGGCTTCTAAAATAGATTCGTATCAGGTTCGTTTATCTCATCCGTAAATTAGATTGCCAGCGATTCAGGTTGCTTATTTTAGTAAGTTAGCGCACGGTAGAGTCTTCTTGGCTTGAACGTTTTGGGA